ATAACATCAAATATAGTAGGAACATCTCAGTATTGACATTGACTGTAACATTTAACTCTAAAAAGACTTGCTGATCTTTGAGAACATCAAAAACTTCCACTGAATCATGAAAGTAAATAAAATGGTATTGAAGCATAGAACTTACTTCTTTTATGACATTTGAAACTTCATCAACAACAAAGGCAGTCTGAAAAATATCAAAATTTAATATCAAAATTACTTAGGTGGTTTAAAACAAAAAAGCAAAAGCGCCCAAGGTAAAACAGCAGATTTCTCTTAAAGCAATCTAGCAAAGACTTTTTAATTGAAACAAAACATTGGGTGAAATGTTGACCACATGCTGTAACTTTTTGGACTGGATCACTACCGACTTTTGTGTACCTAACCAATTTGATCATTTGCAGCTCTTGTTTCTAAGCTGCAATTGAATATATAGGCTGCAGAAGATTGGGTCCACCAAGAAATTTGGGTCCAAAAATGAATGTAATTCACAAAACCATGCAGAGATACTTTGTTTGAAATGACAGATACAAAAACGAATAAAAACATGAATGTGTATTTAAAACAGCACATAGAAATTAGAATTTCAACCAACAACAATATCGTCAAGCATTGGAGTATCAATAACACCCATAGTATTCCTTCCACATCTTATATATTATGACCCTTTTCAAGGTAGGAGGACAGTTTGGCAGGAACTGAAAGGAACTCATTTATAAGCCACCTTGATTATAAATAGCAGCAAATTGTGCCAAAAATAATTATAATCCATGGCTTGTAATCCAATAATTATGGTAACAAAATCCATAGAAAGTTGTAAACATCAACCTAAAGTCTATAACGCTTTTACCTAACCCCAACATCTTGCTGTATTGATCAAAGTAGTTCGTTTCCCTATCATCATACTTTTATTTTCAAGATGATTTTACATGGATGTGCTTGAATTTCATTCTAGAGTACCTTGTGGACTGCGAAACATTATATACATGTATATAATAAATGACAATACTGATAACCAAAAATTTCATTCTAGAATTATGCTCCTCAATTAAGATAATACCTAAAGAGTTATATCCAGCAAAAATCAATGATTAGATTCAATTTATTCCTCATGGTCTATTTGTAATGCTTTACTAGATCTTCAAATTGGAAAGGCTTGCTTTGGTTGCCATAGAAGTGGAAGGAAATTTTCGAATTTTTGATGCTTCCAGTTCACTGGAAAATGCACTCATTCCAGCATTTACCTCTTTATTTTGAACAATTTTACCCACTTGCTGTCATTCAATCTCATTTCATTTATGTTTAATATGACATGTTTTACTCTGCTTGAGGATTTACTACAGCAAAAAATTGATAATCAGAAATTAGCATGGCACAGCAGATACAGAGTCTCATTCTTCAGATACTACTAGAAATGGTTTGGACATTGTTTGGAATACTGATAATATGAATATAGCTCAGGTCTAAAGCAAGAGAAAAATTATTTTGAGGGCAGGCGAAAAACTCAAATCAAGAATAAGGGTCTTGGGGCAAATTCCTCAAGAAATTCCCCCTCCATACAAATTTCCATCAATTTTATGATTGTATGTAGTGGAATTTTAAAATTAAATGAAAACTGAAAACTAGGGGATGTCACTTCACCCCTCAGTAATACAAAAGAGTTTACTTTCTAGCAAACAGAAATCATGTATTCTATTATGACTATACTGAGTGCTTTTCGATTAATTCCATTTCAGAAAGCTTCTCCTTGGAGATCTCACCATACAAATTATTGGGCTTACAGCGTGGAAACTGTTTATGTTGAACATAAGAGTTTTTTAACAAATACTTGTCATCCAAGGATTGCATACTAGCTTAAGGTGGTCCTCGACCCTAGATTTCATCATCAAAAAATTTTTTCCAACTTTTTTGCTTTTTTCAATTTTATAATGCCTTAGGTGTTGTTCTTTCTTTGTTAAATGCCCCTGTGCACATACGGACCGAAAACGGGTCATAAATCAAGGTTTTTCAAAGAGCAGTCACAAATATTCTTCTTAGCAACGAGAAAAGCTGGTTGCTAGGGTAACTTCTCAAATCTTTTTTACCCTTTTTTGGCCACAGGTAAGACGAAATCTACCTTGGAACACGATTACAATTTTTTTATTGAGTTGAATTTGTTTTAGTGTGCTTTACATGAAGTATATTCTGTAAATTTTCACCACGGTGCACCTCGAAATACTGTTTTACGTTTGTCAGAGTTAGAATGCCTGGACGAAAGCAAAGAAGCCTTTACCGTCAAAAGAGAAAACGTGGTTTTTACGGAGTGCAAAAACAATTTGTAGAACAAGAGGCTTCCAGAAACGATAGCGCTACAGTTGATGACGACGAAGATGTGGTACTATCACAAGAACCAGGCCCATCTTCCCCCTCTACGATTCCAAAAAATTTCAAGAGTCCATCTGGGAAATTGATCAACAAATCATTAGAAAAATTGAAAAGGAATTGTCCTTTATTTGCCGAAGAACAGTCTGAGTACATAAATGAAAGAAGGAAATGTCTGGATTTGTACAGTAAAGACTCACTTGGCCTAGCTAGTGGAAGAGAACTTGCACATGGCTTCAAGGTGATGAACACTAGCAATCTGCTAACCAGTTTGAGTAAAGCAGCCGTCTGCCGTCTCTGTAAGGACCCAAAAGGAACCTTGCAGCTATGGCAAGACAATTCTAAAAGAAGAGGTCTTCATGAGGTTTTATTCTGGAAATGTAGCAATTGTGACAAAGAAACAGATTCTTTCAGCACCAGCCCTTTCGTAAACAATGATAAAATGGATGTTTCAGAAATAAACATACGTCTTACGCAGGGAGGTGTGGAAAGTGGAAATGGATTGGCAGGTTTGTCAAAAATATGTTGTGCATTAGATGTCCCTCCACCAGTTACAACAAATGCCTTCAGTGCAATCCTGAAAAAAATCACCACATCATACCAGAAGGAAGCCCAAGAGTCTCTTTGTAAAGCAGCAAAAAATTTAAAAGACCTTATGCAAATAAACACTGACATTAATGATGAAGTTGTTTCTTCATATGTCCCTGTTAGTGTGTCAGTAGATGGTACATGGCAAAAACGTTATGGCTATAGTTCTTTGCTTGGTGTTGTGTTTATTTTATCAGTTGAGACTGGTGAAGTATTGGATTATGAAGTACAGTCCAAAATTTGTTTTGAGTGTAAATTTAGAGAGAAGTGGGAAAAAGAGTCAGAAAAGTACAAGAATTGGTATTCTAATCATGAAGAGCATTGTGAAGTTAACCACAAAGGCTCCTCAGAGGCAATGGAAAAAGAGGCTGCTGTAAAAATGTTTCTAAGATAAATGGAGAAACATCAGCTTGTATATACAACTTATGTTGGTGATGGTGATTCATCGTCATTTGCTGAAGTTGCAGATGCCTGTTTCAAAAAATTTGGAGATGGATACTTGGTTTTGAAAGAGGATTGTATAGGGCATATCCAAAAGCGAATGGGCTCTAATTTGCGCAATTTTAAAAACAAAAACAAAGGTAGAAAGTTAGCAGATGGTGGAACGATTGGAGGACGTGGTAGACTAACTGATGCAATAATAGACTCACTGCAAAATTATTATGGTTATGCCATTCGAAATCACACTAATAATATTGAGGGGATGAAAAAAGCAATTTGGGCAATATTTTATCATTGCATTCAAGGTGAAAATGAGCCGGATGAGGTTCAACATCAGTTTTGTCCTGAAGGAGAGAATTCATGGTGTAGGTTCCAGAGAGACAGAGCTTCCCATACAGCAACCTATGATCAGAGAAAGTGCTTGCCATCAGTTTTCAGGAAGGAGTTAAAACCTATATTTGAAAGGCTATCTGGTGATGAACTCCTGAGCAGATGTCAAAAAGGTCTCACACAGAATCAAAATGAAGCCCTCAACAATTTCCTTTGGTCAAAATGCCCCAAACGAGTCTTCTGTGGTAAGCAGCGCTTGGAATGTTGTGTTGCGTCATCTGTTTTGCAATGGAATGCAGGAGCAGGCAGTGCTGGGAATGTGCTGAAAAGACTAGGTGTTTTGTCTTTGGGATCAAACACCATCAAAGGTTACAAATCTGCAAATGAGAAAAGGGTAAAGAAAGCGGAGGCCAAATGCAAAACAGATTATCAGAGAAGACGGCAAATTTTAAGGAAGATGAGAAAACAAAATACAAAAGCAGGAGCAGCTTATGCCTCTGGAGGTTTTTCTATCCATTAAGTGCCAGACAAAGACCTATGCAAAGTTGATGACAAGGATAACATGGATGTAGTGTTTATTGATGAAAAGAGCCTTGAAATGGTTTATGTTGAGAAATCAGCAAAAAGAAGAAAAATTCAATAACTAAAAAGACAATTCATATAACCTTATGTACAGGTACCTTTTGGAAATACTTTATTTCCTAATTATATAAGGGAATAATCTAAAACCAATTGGTCATGGACCATTAAGACCCAAATTTAACCTCTTTTGGTTAATTATTTTGAAGCATTGATGTCGAGTTTGTAAATATACGCAACCAGAACTTTAAAGCTCGTTTTCTCAAATGCGCATTTTAATACTTTAAGAAAGGATAAAAAAAGAAGCATGCAATATTATTCAATCAAATTTGGTAGGAGGAATTGTACTTATGGTGTCTTTGATATGAGTTGACAAAATTTTAATCTGTCTACTCTGTTGATAGTTATCCAAGAAAAATGGTTTTTCCAGTTTCCATAGCAACGGTTGCTATGACAATAATTTTCTCAACTCATTTCAATGCTTTCTTTATGTTTAGTAATTTGAAATAGATATTATCTTAATGTAAGCTTACACTTCTCTAAAATCGTTTCTCAAGCATTTTTTATGGTCCAGGTTTCCTGGTCTGTAAAATACACCATAGCCACGTGATCATCTTATTGTTATGAAAAAATCTGCAGTAATTGCTATTGTTGTTTGTGTGAAAATTTGGTGTGATTTGAACAATAGACTTAAAAAATATTCAATGATTTTCAAAAACATAGCTAAAATCATCTTCAGGGTCGAGGACCACCTTAATGCGATTTTGTACGTACTGCTTAAATGTTTTGTTTTCTCCGAATATCCACCAGATGACAATTTGCGAGTCTGACCAACAAAATGTTTGGTCAATGTTCAATGTAGCGCTCAACGCGTCCGATACCGTTTTCATAAGTCTGGCAAGAATTAATGCCCCCATAAGTTCCAAACGTGGAACTGATTCCGATTTCAAGGGACTTACGCGCGTTTTCGACGCAATTAAATGAGATACAACTCTTGATGACGTTTCAACTCTTAAGTAAACGCTTGCTGCGTATGCTACTGTACTTGCGTCCGAAAAACCATGCAATTGAACTGATTTTATGTCTGAAACCTCGACCTCATGCATCACGGAACGAGGTAATTCGATTTTCGAAACCGATCTTATGTCGAGAATGATGTCACGAAATTTCTGTGCAATTTTATCATGCACTGGAGAGTCCCAGTTTTCTTTTATCTTACACAACTCTTGAAAGAGGCATTTTAAAGGCAGGATTACTGGCGATATCAATCCTAATGGATCATAGAATTTGGCTGTAGTGCACAGAATTGACCTTTTTGTAACCATAGTAATCGATGTATCTCTTACAATTTTTTCAAAGTCAAGTTTCAACGAATCTGTAATTAGATTCCAACCAATTCCCAATACCTTTGTATCTGGTTGTTCGTGATTGGGATCTTCCAGCACATTAGCGTTTTCTGAAACGGGGGTGTACAAGGCCTCGTGTTTTTTAATTCTTTCTTTTAATTCCTTGTTATTTGTAACCCATTTACGCATGTTAAACCCGACTTTGTGAAGAGAGTCTTTTAGCTTTCTATACGTTTCAAATGCTTCATTGTTGGTAGAGAATGAGGATTGATAATCGTCAACGTATAACGATCTCAGTGTATTGTACACGAACAATGGGTCATTTTTCCCTTCGGTCATTATATGCTTACGCAATGTGGCGTTTAAAACAAATGGAGAACTAGTCAATCCAAATACGAGGCGCGTAAAGCGTAATTTTATCAACTCAGGATTCTCACTGCTCACGTCATTTACCCATAGAAACCGTAGAAAGTCGCCTTGCTCAGGGGGAATTTCGATATTAAGAAAGGCCTTTTCAATATCGCCGGCAATTGCCACCTTATGTATTCGGAAACGTAGTAATATATCCAATATCATTGGCGTTAATGATGGGCCTTGTATTAAACAGTCATTAAGGCTAACTTCCCCTGATCTTTTACAGCTAGCGTCATAAACTATGCGCAATTGAAGGAAGATATGTTACATGACCCGGTTCATAGTTTTGTTCGATATCCAAAGTCTTGTCAACTATTTCAACAACACCTTCCTTTAACTGATCGTGAATAACCTTATCGTACTCGTTTAAGATTGTTGGTTTGTTACTTAACCGTTTCAAAACTGAATGCAACCTGTTTTTGCATAACAGAAAATTGTCTGAAATAGGCTCGTGTTCGGGTTTAAACGGCAATTTTGCTTCATAACGCCGCCCATTAAACTCAATTTCATTTTCCATGTAATTATCACAGAATGCTGGTGATTCTGATTTTACGCCTATACTTTCATAGTCCCAGAATTTATGAATTTGTTCATTTACTTCACTGTCACTATTGACTACTAAACACTCCGCCTTGAGAATGTGTGACTCGGTTAAATGGGTCGAGAACCGATGATCATTTGCATAACTAGGAGGCGTATCAACAGGGCCAGAAAGTACGTAACCTAGTTTTCTTTTCATTGCAATGGGTCCATCTCCCATTTCCCCCCGTGTGACTTGACCATCGATTAAGGACCAATAATGATCTAATCCAATCAGCAATTGAATTTCCAAAGAATCATTGTTATCAGATTGGTCTGCTAATGGCAACCGACTCAAATGCTCATATTTTCCATAAGCAAACGCAATGTTTTGATTTATAATAGGTTCACACACATGATCAACACAATAAGCAGTTATAACAACCCTTTCACCATTAAAACAATGAACCACTAATTGTACTAGTTCAGCTTCTAGAATTTGGCCTTCATTTCCAAAAGTGTTAATTAAAATTGTTTCCTTGCCAATCGGTGATAAATTCAAGGCCTTTTTTACCGACTTACTCAAGTACGATCTTTGAGAGCAAGAATCAAATAACATTCTCACCTGTCAAGTACCATCCTCTTTATCAGAAGGATTCGACACAGATCCTTGTGCTGTTGGCATGAGAAACTGTTTTTTGTTCATATCATGATTTACCAATAAATTTGTAGTGGCTGGTTGTTTAGGTATCATACCCTTTGATGAGGCCTTATCCTGTCTAGCAATTCCAGATTGATTTCGATTAAATCTCGAATTCCTATTGTTGCCACAGATCGAGGTATGATGTCGCCCACCGCATACTCTGCACTTGCCTGTTGTCATGCAATCTCTCGCAATGTGACTCCCCTTCATACATAGAAAGCATCTGCCTTTCTGCCGTAAAACCCTTCTTCTTGCAAATGGGTCTGTCACCGACGTGCACCGATCCCAGAAATGTCGGCCTCCGCAAAATACACACGATGGTTCCCGCTCACCTTGGTAACTTGCTCCTCCTTGGTTATAAAAAACAAAGGTCGTTGATGGTTGAATCTGATCAACTTTTCTTGTATTCCTCCTGCCCTCAGTAAACGAATTTGCAGCCCCAGCCATCGTACTGTACTCGCATCTTTCTCTTAACTGCAACTCTTTTCCAAATTCCTGCATAACCCCATCCAAATCCCACTCTTCCGATAAATTTCTTGTTAATGTTATTCTCAATTCTGGCGAAATCTTTGACATAAGAATAGGTGTTACAAATGTTCCATAACTATCGGAATTGATTCCAATACCTCTTAAACTCCGTATAACGCCTTCCGTTTTATCGTAAAGGGTCCTCAGCTGCTGAACGCTACTCGACTGTACATTCGGTAAATTTATCAAGGATTCCATATGACGTGAAATAATTATTTGTTTATTTCCAAATCGTGATCTGAGCAACTCCAAAGCTTCAGTGTAATTCGCATTAGTTACATTAATGCCGGTTAACGTATCCTTCGCAATTCCACTCAAACAATTTAGTAGATACCGAAACTTGTCCACAGGCTCCAAACTTGGATGGCTATCAACAGTTGACAAAAAGCTGTCGTAAAACGGAGTCCATTTCTCCGGATCTCCATCGAATTTCGGTAGCTCGAGACTTGGGAGTTTACGTCTACATCCTTCTCCCGTTGATGATAAACGTGACGAAGACATAGATTCTGAGTTTTTCGATCTCTCTTTCTCATCACGACTGATTATCGATTCAATTATGCAGATAACGTCTTGTACATTGCTTTGGAATTCGCCCTTTTCGACGATTTCTTTCTCTATTTCTTCTTCATCTATGATGTCTTCAATTTTTTCGTCTAATGTTTCTATTATCCTCAATTGCTTTTCAAACGTAATTTTTGCCGAATTTAGTTTTGCGATCCATTCCTCGGTAGGATTCGTATTGTTATCCATTAGGCCATTGACAGTTTGAATAGTGTTCCGCACGTGAAGGCGATGTCCGCTTCGCGATTTCACCAACTTTCTCAGCTCCGCCATAACGTCAAAGTTCTAAATAAATGTTACTGTACAACTCTCCGAGTTCCCGGGTCACGGCACCATGATTTGAAATTGAATCTGGGTTGTTTTTAATATTTAAACCTGTGTTTCGTCACCCTGGTTCGTGGAATCCAAGCAGATAACACATAACGAATTACAACCCAATTCCAAACACACATCTGCTGCCATTAATGGTTCGATTGTATTTCCAATTTCGTGATTCCCTGATTCCACTCACAGATTCCTAGTTCCATTTTTTAGTAATAGCTCTTGGTGGCTATCATAATATGGTATTCTGCAGCTTTTTGTCTTACTATAGAACCGTAAATCCTGGAATTGGCCTCCCTCGAAAAATCCCCCCCCCCGCTCGAAAAAGCCCCCCTCGAATAAGCCCCCGCACTAGAACTACAAATTGTCAATTAGTCCCCCCTCGAATGAGCCCTCACTGCTACCATAAATTCTTGAATAGGACCTCTCAATTTGATGATTTTTGCCATCTGAGGTTGCCCTTGGCGTTTTATTGAATTATCACTAAAAATCATACTTTTGTTAATAATTAATTAAATTCTCGTAAAGAAATTCCAACTTAAATAAATGATGACTTTCAATAATGTCTTCTGGATGTCTACAATGATTTTACAAGCCCCCCTCCCCCCCGTATAAGCCACTCTCAAAAAAGCCCCCATCCAGAAATATCAAGAATAAAGAAGCTCCCAGAAGGCTAATTCGAGGATTCACGGTAATGATTTGCAGGCCAGCTGGAGCCGGGGGGCTGGGGGACTGGAGCCCCCCAATAATTGTCAAACTGTGGTATTGTAAAACCTTTTAGAATAGGGGTTTTACAAACGTGAGTTCTTTATGTAGGCAGAAATGCTCAAAAATACGGCAACGGCGGATAAAATCAAAATTATTCTCTTTACGGCAATTATTTTGAACATAGCTTCGGTAGAGCGTAGACGTGAATGAAACTCCATATCGTTGATTTTATCTTTAAATATATACAAAACGTGACTATAAACAACTATAACGTAAACGTAACTTGTTAGCCCATCATAAACTTGTAGCGTGACTTTATCGTAACTTCACTACTTCAAACAACTTAACCTTACAATATAGGGCGTGAATATATATAACGTAAGAAGACTGGGACGAGTAGGAATCCCCCATGATTTCACAACAGCAATGATACGACAAACGGCTAACGACAAGTTTGACAAATAACGACACAGCTTCAACAGGCACGACAAAACTAGCGACAGAGCTCCAAGCAGTACGACAAAACTTTCGACAAGACTACTCCCAACTTATGAAACAACCCTTTATATAACCTAAGCAAACCTTAAAATAATAATTACGTAATACAAAAAACATATTTACAAACGCTGATGCAATCACAGCGCAACGATGCAATTGTCACGTGACACTGTCCGTAAAGCCCAATCTCCAGTGAGAAAAAGTCTTGCGAAATTTCGCTGCGAAATACTTCACGCGACAAATTCCTTTGAATGCTTTTGTTGACCTCACGACATTGGAATGTAAAGTTTGGAAGCGTGACAAAGGAATACGGAATATGATTGGCTGTTGAAGGATTTCGCAAGCGAAAAGCGAAAAAAGTTAAACTCATTTTAACTTTTTTTCGCAGAGAAATTCTTCGCGAGAAATCCCAGCAAAAGATTACTGCGCATGCCTAAGACGTATTTCGCGCGAACTTTTTCGCATTTCGCAGTTTTTTTTCTCACTGGAGATTGGGCTTAAGGAAACCCTGTGTCGTTACAGTATATTTCCTTTATAACAGTGAACTGGGTGAAAGGGATCACAATGGCCAGGGATTAATTTAAGGTTTTTTTGGACGAGCACGGCTAACCTAAATGTGACGACAAGTCCGTAATTTCGTTTATAACCCTGCATATTATGATAGCCAACTAAAACCTGCGATTCTGCTATCGGGCAGCATTTCCTGAAAAACCCAGATTGTGCCAAAAACTATAATGGCGACATGTTTCGGATTATTGGTAAAGTGTTATGCAATTAGTTTTATGTTTTATTTAGTTTTATGATATTCAGTTGCCTGTTCTTTTGATGTTCTTGATAGTTCCGTTGTTTGTCACCTTGCCATCAACATTCCGTATTATTGCATCATTCCATCGCCACTATTGTTGTCCTCAGTCCTTTGTTGTTTGAAGTAATTATTTTGTTATCGTAATACACCAATTCGACTTACGACCTCGTTTTGAAAATTTCTCCTAACCTAATTATACGACTTTCTAAAGCTCAAATTTGGTTTTATCACCATAATTTTAGGCCGGATACAATTTTTTCATATTGTTTGTGCTTGTATTTTAGATTTTACGGAGAAATGAAATTTGAAAACTTGTAAGGGATTTGACCGCCAAAAATCATTCGGGGGGAAACTTTACCCCCCTAGTCGCCAATCACGGTCAAATCCCTTATAATTTTTTTATCTTTTTGTCGTCATAAAATCAATATCGTGAGCAATACCATAATGAAAACTTCAAACTATGCTAAAATCATAGCTTGGAATCCGAATCTGAGGTCAAAAATTTTGTACAAAAAAATTTGAAAATTTTTTCAAAATGAGGCCGTAAGTCTATTAAGGTGTGTTGTCATGTGATTTTTATGCTGTGCCCTTGTTTGTGAATTCAGTCGTTATGTGAAGCCGTGAAGTTAAGTCGTGTCGTATCGTTCAGTTGAAGTCGCCTATAGTCGCAATTAAAGTTGCCGTTAAATGAAAGTCGTTTAGTTATTGGAAGCTTCGTTGAAACCGCAGTCGATTGAAAATCAAAGAAAACTTTGGTACATATTTTGTTGTCCTCCTTTTGCTTATCTTTACCCGTAAAACATTATAGTTTTACAAAAGCCCGATCGTCGTTCCACCTAGCAGTTTTGGAATCTATCTACATAAGCACGAAAAAACCGCTACTGTGTAGACAAAAGGAGTTCGTTTTCACCTTAGGACTCCATTGATAACATTCTCAATAGGCAAGCGGCACTGATTGGTCATGTGCTCGTGTTTCTGATTGGCCTATTTCGATCCACAACTGGGTATATATATTTCCTAGCTTAGAGTTTTCGGTCTATGTTCTGACGTTTTCAACTCTGAAGAGTGTCAGACGAAAAGCTTTAGTTTACTAAATGTTTGCTTTTTTCAAAGCCATATACGGGGAATTTCGCAAAACCATCTAGCAAACTGCCTAACCGAAAGTTTAAGTCATGAAAGTAAAGGCCACTGATCATTTTAAGTCTTGGGTACATTCCGGAAAATGAGCGGAAGTAATGTTTCAGAAAACGTAGAAAATGCACAGTCAGCAAAATTTTTAATTTCGAATTTTTCAAATCTGATGATTTTATCAGAAAGAGCTTGCAAAACTGAGTACAAAATACTAAAATATTATTGTTTCCTGGCGTAATGTGACGTGCTGAGTAGAATAAGATGCAACTCTAGCTTTAAAACATCACAAAAAGCTGTTTTAGACTTTGGTACTTGGGCCCAGGCTGCTGTTTGGTATCGCAGTATAACCTTACAACTATTCACGTTGTTCAACTGAAACTTTGTTTTGAAGGACAGTTTGTATACAATTTTTTATTATAAGAACTAGTAATTTTAAGTTCAGGCTGACTGCTCTTATTTCTTTTTCGAAAATCTGAGGCTGGATTGTTCTTAAGTATGTTCTTAAATTAATAAAGTGTGTAAGCAGTGCAATTGCTAGCTTTTTAGCTCTGAGAAGGTGTTTGGCCTCAGCTGCCAACAAAGTGAGTGAGACAACCTTCATTTGCCGACAAGTTTGAATATTCACCGAAAAAGCACCCACACATGGCTAAAACCCCTTACTTTTTAGATAAAACATTGTTCAAAATTGAATTTTACAGTAGCTCAGCTTCAGTTTGTTCTTAATTTGTTCTTAACTTTTGACCAATTTTAAGGCTTGCGCTCTTTTACAATTGTTCTTATAAAAAGAAATGAGTGTATGTGAGATTTGTCTTCCTATGTTTCGCTTTTTTTCACCGTTTCTGTTTTATCCCATTGTTTCGCTAGATTGTATTGGTTATAAGCTAAGCTGCAGGTCGTAGGTCAGCATGCTTCCGACCGGTCCAGAAAAATAGAATTCCTCTAGTATCTTGTAGTGTACAATGGCAAGCAACAAAGCAAAGGTAAATGAAGAACTTTCTCCTGAAAAGTTTGCAGAAAGAATCGGCCGACTAATAGATGATGCATCCGTTTCGATGGCAATTGGTGTAGGAAATGAACTGGGCATTTTTAGCGTAATGGCCCAACTGGAGAAACCAGAAACATCCGAAGTCATTGCCAAAAAGTCGGGCCTAGTTGAAAGGTAACTTGCAAAGTTGAACCTTATGCTATTGCCAAGTAAAATGATACAAATAAATTCTTAAATTGTCTAGTATTTTGTGCTGTCTTTATTGATTCCGGGAGTGAATTCCAGATTTTAGGCCCTTGAAAACTTAATGATCTGATACTATTATTGGTAGTTCTGGCTTTCAGAATGTCAAGGGTGTTTTTGAGTCGAAGGTTGTGGACCTGTCCTGTTGTTTTGGGTAGAAAATAGTCTTTCATGAAAACAGGATTAAGGTTGTTAAGTGTTTTATAAACTTCCTATGTTTTGCGCAGCTAAAATTACTTGAGAGACTTAAACCCCGTTTACACTGTCCCGGGACAATTTGGTACCGTTTAGCCGTTCCGTTTACACTGTACCAGTACAACCTTAATTTAATAGTAGAACATTGTTTAGAAGAAGCTGTATTTAGTAAACCATGGCTTTTATTTTGCCGCCGAAGTCAACAATCGAAACTTTATTGAGAGCTAAAATGGAGAGGAAGGCCGATAAAAACTTTACTTGGACGAACGACGAGGTGGCTTTAATTTTCAGTGTTATTTCAGACTACAAAGCTGCAAAGTCCAATCAAGGCTTGGACTGGGAAACAATACAAGCCTTTTCTGTGGTCGTCTTTTCTTCAGAATTTCCTTTTCTTCAGAATTTTACAACGTAGTTACGCCACAATCAAAGCCTCGATTACCCGAAACAGCCATACAAAAAACCTCCTTGTGAATCCGTGACAAAATCATCTCGGATAGGTGTTTACACTGGAACCGTAACGGTACAAAATTCGTTCGCTTTCAAAGCAGGGTCAAAACTGTTCCGGATAGCAGAGCAAAATCGTCACGGTTCCACAGTGCTAGTGTAAACGGAAGGGTGAACCGCGACAGTTTTGTCACGGTTCCAAACTTGCACGGGACAGTGTAAACGGGGTCTTAAGGTTAGGCACTTAGTTACATCTCTTCTCTACTAATACGAATATGCTCGCATGCAGATGAGCCCAAATAATGGACCCACAGTCAACCCCATTGACCGCCCTCCCCTGCCCCAAAAGAAGGGCGGTTTTTTTAACCGGAAGGTCTCAAATCGAAGCTAAAAGATTGATCAGCTTCAATTGGGGTAGTACGTTTTTTTGGTGCCTTGGAACGTGACTGGAAAACTTTCTGCTGATTCTTACAGTTTGAAGATTCCCTGGATTTCACAATGGAATAAAGGGTTCGCGATTCCATGAGCCAATCGTGAAACAGATCGAACTCGCGGGACCCGAAAGATTCCTTCTCTCTCTACAAATGTTTTCAAATGCAACGATGACTTTTCAAATGCGTTTCGCTTTCAACAAAGAATCAATTGTCCGATGATCGATTTGGATTTGGATTAATCTCCGTGCACTACTGCCTGGCTCTCCATTTCGAACTCGAAGCGGTCGTGAACAGTCGTATCGTGCTATGGTCGGTCGTGGGTGCTCTTAACCTTAGGTGAGTCTCCCTAGCATTTTATATTAGACCAGGTTAATTTTGAGGTTGGTACAAGGTGAGGTAGACAAATTGAGTTGGTTATTTCCAAGTAGCCTTACATGTGGCGGTTCAGAAAAGTGATGGTGAACGGCGATCTGCCGAGACCTAAAGGGTAAAAACAGGGGTGAAATAGTGAGCACTCAGACTTAATGCCTCTGCGGAGGAGAAAATTGAAATTTCCTTTTGGAAACAACATAAGTTACATTATTTGCTTGATAACAGTAGTTGAGACCATTTTTGAGTACATTCAGTCGATAACGATGCTTTTTCGTAATCAAAAAGGTCATGTAATCACGCTCCACATTTGACTTTATATGGAAAGGTTTCTCGTTGGGGGTAAGAAATATTATTCTGCAACAAAATAGGTCCCTTTGCTACGGAATCAAATATTTTCTAGTGATCGAATTGCTAACTACTTATAAATCGCGTATCTAGTCTTCAATACTACTATCACCGTCACCCTCTTCCTAATCTTCAAACTAACGTAATCATCGACTTGCAACAAAATGTCTTCAATTTCATTTGAAAAGGCCTGCACGAATGTCAACCATGCTTCGTAAGATCACGCAGTTCTAGCAATCTCTCATCAGCCCATTTGCAAATAGCTTTAGAGAGGATTGTGCAGCTTTAGAGAGGATTGATATGGATGCAGCAGTGAAATATCAATGGCTGTTTTTCTCTTCAGATACATGATTTTTAATAGATGCTTCCTCGCCTAATTCACTCTCGTTTGACGACAGCCATACAAAAGACATACTATTCTTCTAGGTCATTGATCGGGTGCGCGTTCTTCCATTTGATGAACCAAGCAAATTGAATGTCTACAAACCTTTCATTCTGTCGTAACAACTTCCCATACAAAACTTTTCCTTTTCAAAAAAAAGACGAAAGATAGTCATTTCCCGTGTATTCATAGAATCCAATCAAGCATCTCTTCGTCTCGGGGGCCATTCCTACAGGCAAAGGTTTATTCCTTTTCTTTGCAGACTTGTGCCGGAGTCGTGATACACCTGCTGCTGCCGTTCTATTGTGCTCCATTTCTTTGATGAAATTGATGAATTCTTCAATCAAATTGATGAGGCGGTGCTTGCTCTCACCACTTTTCAGAAGGTCACTAAAGTTGCGAGGCATTTTGGATTTGCAGACAGTATGACAATTCTCTCAGCACTCCCTTTCTTTGCCTCTCTGCAGACTTGATAGGTTCACTTTGATAGTTGTCTGCGACAATATCTACGCGGTAGAATCCATTTGGAAGCGACTTGATAAACTTCCATGTTAGCTTTTCATATGTGTCCGGTAATGCTGTTAGCGTTCTAATGCTTGCCACAACATCAACGATAAAAGTTGATTTCTCATTTTTGGCAGGAAGAATTTTTCTTCGGTGCATAACAGGTGTCATTTCGGGTCATTTTTCAATTCACCTTGCAGAATTGAAAAGGGTTGCTTGCAGTTTACTTTTGGTAATGCTTTCTTGGGGATCCATCTGGATTGGCCAAGATAAGAGAAACTGAGCAAAGTGGAAACTTGAGTGCTGTCCCAAAGTCTACAAGAAATAGCTAATAAAGTCCCAAGGACATTTCTGTTTGCTCCAATGCTTTTGATTTATTGCTACTTTTGATTGCTGCTTTTTTCCCACTATTTTGGAATAGCTGAAGGATAAGCCTTGAAATTGGAGAATGAAAGTCAATTTCTTTGCTATCTTTTCGAATTTGCGGAAGCTTTCAAAAGCTTCTTCTCCTAGCTTCTTGGCACCAATGATGCTCTTTGCCAATATCGATGAGACTGGAACTCCAGAACTAAGGTTTCATCTTGTCAAGACTCTCATCAAAAGGGTTCAAATACACTTTATGTAAAACCTTTTCTGTTTTCAATATCTGCGAGGAACGTAGTGGCTTGTACATAGTTGATTCACTGGTCAAATCGGCCAACCTTGGCAAACAGTCGGTGCTTTTTGCCTGTTCTGCTCGATTCAATGTCCACTTTAGTATTGCAGACATAGACTGAAAAACGTTTTATGCCACCAGTTGCTTTTGCGTCGCAATTGAGCGTCTGCTCACCCCTCTGATCAATAGCTACGCTTAACGGCACTGTTATAATGTACTTATTTACTGTACTGAAATGCCCCTTATAATAATGGACTAACATACGCCCATGTAACCGTTTACTTAGCTTTGGATTGAATTGAATTATAAGTTAGTTGTTGATGTGTTCTGTTACAGATGAGTCGAAAGTATAAAGAGGTAATCTATTAAAGGCACTTTTTCTTGAGCTGGAACATACATTTCTTTTTTACCAAGAAGAACTTTTAGACCTGGATACAATTGTTTCAGTCTCTCTGAAACGGTAACACAGTAAGAGCCATAGCGAGCATAGTTTGTTTTAACAATTTCGAAGTAAAATGGAAAGAAAAATTTCCAGCAGGCAGTGCGTAGCTCTAAGTTGTTTACTTGAACAGCATGATGGGCAAGCTGCTGAACTTCAAGTAATTCCAAGTAGGAACATAACCAAACTAGATAACATTACAAGAATGACGTTAATTGCATTGACTGCCTTATAATTTGAGAGTAGTTCAACTTTAAATTACCTCTCAGACAGTGCTCCATTACAATGAAATATGCCTAGATAACCTTTTGATAAGCACGATAAGCACAGCAAAACAGCACAAGAAATTCCGTGGATACTCATCGTTATCGACTGAATGTACTCAAAAATGGTCTTAACTACTGTTATCAAGCAAATAATGTAACTTATGTTGTTTCAAAAAGGAAATTTCAATTTTCTCCTCCGCAGAGACGTTTAGTTTGAGTGCCCACTATTTCACCCCCGTTTTTACCCTTTAGGTCCCGGCAGATCGCCGTTCACCATCACTTTTCTGAACTGCCACATGTGTGGGTACTTGGAAAAAACCAACGCAATTTGTCCGCATCCAATCCAAGTGGTATCTACCTCAAAATTAACCTGGTCTATATCCAATGATGATTGATAAAAACTATTCGTCGTCATTTTGCTTGCCTTTTTATCGATCGATTGAAACCCCGTTTCTTATTATTTCGTTTGCAAGCGCTATGTAACTCGTGCTTTTGATGATCTTGCTTTTCGTTTTCGTAGCTACATAGACATGCTGCTGTGCTGCCCATTTTACCGTTTCGCGATTGCTGCTGGTTGTTCCCGTTCTTCTGGCATCAGAATCGATGACATGCAAGCACAAGTAAGTGTTTTCGATATTGCTTATTTCAAATTATTTCGATGAAATTACACGAAAAACCGGCTCTAACAGGAATTCTACTAGACCCCCACCGGGAACGTGTTTCTCTGAAATTTTTTATTTTTGCGTGGTTTTGTGCTAATAGGAAACTGACTTGGCTCTATTGCCATAAAAGTAAGAAGAATTGTGGTAGATTTTGCCTGATGTTGATTCTTGATGCATGAAAATTTGATTTTCATAGGAAAACCTGTTGTAATGCGAATTATGTTATGCCAGCCCCCAACTTTTCATGCCTGGCGAGAATCTTTTGCAGCAACTTTCCCTTACCGCCTTCTTTGTTTTTTTGAAGATGAACGATCGGATTCGCTGACGTCTTGGTACAACAAATAAGTAAGCCTTATTCGTTTAAAATTTCAGTTCTGTCTGCAACTTTCCCACTGTGACGTTGGTGTGAGGGCGCCGGCCTTTAAAAGAGAATTTGCCTGCCCCCTCCCTAAATTAAAATCATTTCTAGCTTTAAGAGCATTTTAAGAATTGTAGGAGTTATTCAAGAAATCATTTCAAATGACTTTTTACTTACTTGGGTGAAATAACAGTAAAAACCGTTTGCTAAAAGGGGTCGCTAGACCCGCCGCGAACGCGTTTCTCTGAATTTTTGACAAAGCATTGTGACTATCGATTTTCTCAAAATATGCTTTGATTAACCATTTAATAACATCTTCATGATTTTTTGTTCTTCATCTAGATCATCTCAAGCAATAATTATGACGCAGACGTGATTCTCGAACCTTCGAAACGAAATTTATTGCATTTATGCTGGTGTGAAATTGAACAATGAAACAAGAAAAAAACTTGACTGTGGAGAAAAGGACTAAAGTTATAGATTAGCTGTTGTCCGTAGATTGTATTTTGTTAATTTGTTGTTGGAAGAAGATTCCTTACTTATGCACGAAACTTTGGCTGTTTTCTGTATTTCAATTTCCTGGGTGCTTTCTTACTGCAGTGTTTGTTTCAAAGGGTAGCTGTGTCGAAGATATGATACGTAGGCCTCGATTGAAAAGAACTCCGTAAAGTTTTTAATTAATTGGAGTTTCAATCGCGAATGGTTAACTTTTTGATGAATTAACTTACTTTTAGGGATTTTTATGTCTAAAAGTTTTCCAGATGATGTCTAAACGAACACCACGGACATAATACGGCTAACAGAAATTTATTAGAAAATTTTATCTTTTGATTCAGAATAAACGGGGGAACTTTGAGGAAGCCCACAATTATGTTTAAACCAGCATCACGAGTCAACGAGGACTGAAGGAAGTTCTATAGTTCACGTTAGATTCATATTAAACATGAGAGTTATAAGGAAGGCCCTAAAAATATTACAACGCGACCCATTAGTCAACGAGGACCAAATCTGTATGGTTAGAAAACTTTAACATTTGAATCTAAATAAATAGAAGAACTCCTGGGAGTAACCTCCTGAAAATGTGTCAAAGAGGTAAACGATTCGGTGGGGGCAAATAGAAATATATTGCTGTGAAGCTTTAAAGAAGAGTTCAGAATAGCTTTTAGATTAGCCCGCAGAATATTGAAATGAGCCCCACGAGTCATCGAGGAATAAATGAAATAATTTGATGGAAAATTTAAGCACTGAAATTAAAATAAACAGGAGACTTAGGAGGTAAACCATTAAAATATTTAAACGTGGACCAAGAATAGACCGGGCCTTGCAAAATGTTTCTAGCAACTTTCAACCTTGCTTCGATCTTACAAACGTAATGTATCAAATTGATATGCACATTTCAATGAACGAAAGACTAGCACTCAACCTTCAATAGAGAAATACAATTAGAATACAGATGGCTATTGGAATACCATTTATGTTTCAGGTACATTCGAGAATTGTTGGCTGTCCTTGTCACTGGGAAGATTATTCACTACTTCAAAGAAGAGAGTACGTATTTTCTCCCCCGCAGCTACATTGCTTACCTCACAACAGGCAAAACAAACATGGCAATGTACTCATCTTTGCTGATGAAATATAGTACTCATTTTGAAGAGTTGCGTTGTTGCTTCAAAAATGGAGGTGGAATTCCATACAGCTCCTACAATGAGTTTCATGCTTGGATGGATGGATTCTCCAGTAAACGACACGAGGCCGATCTTATGGACGTTTTTCTCCCGACCATTGAAGGTATGGCTTCGTTTCTTTTATAAGAGATGTATAATCACTCCAGGGATGTATTCCAAATCTGCACGAATAAGGGTAGAATCTGGTCTTATTTTTTAAATCTTGAGGGATGCAAATAGTGACTTGTTTTCCTGGTAATGTTAGAAAAATTCGCAGAAAAAATGTAATTGCAGTGCCAATGTATATGGGAAGATTTCTGATTTCATTGAAAAGGTTTTTCTTTAGACAAGTAGAATTTGAAGAGGATGTAGTGCTTCAACAGGCCCAATGGGTCCAATTTCCTCACATATACAATGCAATATGTCAAGGGCTCCAGAAAAACAAAAGAGACGAGGATGTGTCCCGAGGTTACCTTTTGCCGACCAACAGTATGTTTATATCAACTGAAATCCATCATTTGTTCAACAGGTCTTAAAGAAAAACTCCAGTCTGGCATCAAAGTTCTCGACGTCGGTTGTGGATCAGGATCACCAGGATTAATAATGGCGGCCGCCTTTCCCAAAAGTGAGTTTCATGGTTTTGACATTTCAGAAGAAGCAATAAAAAAAGCCAAAGAAGAAGCTGAAAGGCGTAGTTTAGCCAACGCCCACTTTGAAGTACAAGATTGTGCCAATCTAGGCTCGGAATACAATGAATATTTTGACTACATCACCGCGTTTGATACGATCCACGACCAAGCCTACCCAGACATGGTTCTTGCCGAAATATTCAAGGTTTTGAAAAGAGGTGGCCTGTTTTCTCTTGTGGATTCAGATGCACATAGCAACCTAGCAGACAATGTTGGTCTGCAATTTTTGCCTTTTAGATATGCGACGAGTCTGTTCCATTGCATGCCAGTCAGTTTGTATTTTGAAGGTGGAAAAGGTCTAGGGACATGCTGGGGCAGGGAAAATGCTTTGGATATGCTTAAAAGTGCTGGATTCATTGGAACAGAAATAGTTGGTAGCAAAAGCTACAACTTTCATATTGTAAGCTCAAAGCAAAGCTTAGGGAAAGACATTTGATTGCATATCTTTGTATTCCTGTACAAGTTGAAAAACAGTATTTGCGTATTATTTTGAGGTCTGGGGCTGATTATTGTTACATAGATATTGACATCCTCTATTTCCATAGACTTATTCTTAATAAAAGAGACATAAATTTGAAAATATTAGTCATTGCTGTTCTTCTAGGATGTTGCGTTCAGAAAGTAGCTCTCCAGATGCTATTTAAGCTGTTTTTAATGTTTTTAAGTTGACAGGTTATATTCATTCTGATAAGGTCCCGTTTGCCGAGGTGAAACATAAGATAGGCTAACTTTTTTGATATCTCATTTTTAACGTAATTATACTGATTCATTACTCGCCATTTCATGTTGTTGCTGCTACTGTGAACTACTTCAAACCCTGTCATGAGATATTTATGTCTGGCCTTCAGAAATTAGCTGAGGTAAAAAGCAAAAGTGGAACATCAGCTTGATACCCCCAAGAAACATTTTGGAGCCATCTAAACTTAGTTGTTACACTCAACAAAGTTATTTTGTAAAATAATTTCAGAAGTAACTGGTAGAAACAAGCTTTGACACAATTCAATTCAGTGTGCAAAACAGCCAAATTTGATTAAAAGACACGAGTATTTGCTTTCAATTTAAGCTAAACTAAGAACCAGTCACAAATTATTTTAGTATCCTAAATTTACTACAACAGCATATCTCTAGGCATAGAATAGCAAAATCTTGAGATTTTCATGGCTCGGCAAATTTTGAAGCATTCTTCTAAAAAGTTGGTTTTCTTGAGCACAAATCTCATATCGGTTAGAATTCCTTTGTCAGAAAAAAAATGATACAAACACTTGGCTTATGGCCTCTTTCCCTTGCAAAATCACATAAAAAAGCTTGTTTGATATAAAACAAATTTGTTATCACGGTTATGCTTGCTCGTTGTGTTTGTTTAGCTGAAGTGTGTACTTTTATCGGAGTGGCCAAAATCAAACAGAATCCTTTTCGTTTTTCACTAAAAACAAAATTTTTTTGTAGCTGGTGTATGACTGGATTTCATGAAATGTCACTTGTTGAGCGGAACGAACATAATTCAAAATTTAATTTGTTTATTACTAATAAAATTTATAGCGTAAAAGCAGTGAAAAAAGCAAATAGAAATTTCAGACGACCAGCGGGCTCACGTGAAATTCGCGGTATAGATTCGGGTGTAACTATGGAATTAAAATATTCATGCATACAGATAACAGATAACAGGAAAAACAGATAACACAAATTAAATGAGGAAGAAAAAGGTTCTAGTTTTGAATTTTATGAAAGGACCCAACCCCCCAAAATTGTGCCACGTGACAAAGTTTCCAACATGGCATCCCGGAGAAGGACTTCTGCTACGGCCAAGAGAGATCAAGAGCGCGTAACAGAGACAATGAACATCGATGTAGGCGCAGAAAGTGGCGCTCCAGCTGCTAAACTAGCCAAGAAAGAAACAAGCAAAATTGGAACGATATTTAATAGCTTAGACTATGGCCCTGCACCAGAGAGTGCAGAAATAGCAAAGAGATGGATAGCCAGTCACAATGGACTATTAGGCCACTTTATTGATGGGAAATGGGTGAAGCCTGAAGGACGCAAAAGATACGATTCGTTCATTCCTGCAACAGGTATACAAAACTATGCATATAACTTAATTTATCTAGGCCTCTTTCTTGTAACAATGATAGTAGGTGCAATCGCTATGTCATGAATTATGAAGCCAACGGCTCACTTTCTGCCTGACTGCATTTCATTCTTTTCAAATAATGAATTCCCGCCAAATTTTAAGAATTGAACTGCACACATCTTCGTAAACACGTTTCTCTTTCAGAACCAAACTGAAAAAAGGTTTGGGCCAGTGCATTTGTACCCAATTTTATCATATTATACTAAGTAACTATACTATTGCTACCGTGGAAACAAGCAATGTCCTCAATCCAGGCTGCAGAACCTGTCAAATTCAACTGGGTAGAATCATCAGACATAAATTCTGGTTTTTTAATAACTTCAAAGTCAATGCAATTTGAAGTCTGCCTGCCAGGGAGGAATCCATGTAATCCTTACACCAGATATTGACTAGTAATCTATGATACTGCGCTGATCATTCTATATCCATATGCTAACACCAAAAAGCTAATATGATGCATAATAAAACTATTAATCATCTTATTTGCCAGCAATAGTTGTTGGTAGGTCATACACTGGCCTAATCACAGGCAGCAAACTCACCCCAAAACGTAATTTAAAAAAAAATAGCACAGAACAGCAGAAACTTGACAAAGTAAAATATTTTGCACCTGACACTCAGACACACTATGCACACTCAGAAATTCACATAAAGGAAGAGGAAATATGGGTGTCTTGCCACTCTGAAAAGTTGTTTTTTAGAAACTTTGGCCCAAAAAAATATATTTTATGGACTACAGTCTTATTCCAATATTGTATTATTTGCAGAACAGCTGGCATTTTAACATCTTTTTTATGTTTCATTCCTTTTTCAATAAACACTTCAGCAAACAACAATGTTTTGACAGAAAATTTGTTCAACTCTACAGGGGTTTTCAGAAACATGGGATTTTTCATCTCATTGCCCAAACCATTACATTCATTTTGTTTATATACCCTGCTGTGAGGTTAGAATTTCATGCGAGCAGTTTTGCATCACAAGAATAATGACCAATTGCAAACCCTTATTTTGATGTTACTTGAATAGTTGTGTATACGCAGCCCTTTTTATGGACACATTACCTTAAATAGTTCTAATGCTGGCTGTTTTGATGACCAGTTTTCATTATTTTCAATGGCTTATTATATATAAGAAAACCTTAACCCTTGATCATACCTTTTAAGGTATAATCCTTAACTAAGATATTGATAACTTTTATCCTTAGTTGCTATGTCTACTGTCTTTAGGCTGAGGTTGAGGGAGGGGACAATATATGGCCTGCTTAGAAGTTTTGTACACATTTGTTTAATCTAAAATAAAAAAGATGTGAAAATCAACTTTTTTTCTAGGTGAAAAGCTTTCCAGCACTATCCAAGGAGAGAAGGAAGATCTTGATCAAGCAGTTGCTGCTGCTAAGAAAGCTTTTAAAGACTGGAGTAATTTGTCACCCCATAAAAGGGCTAGGCATATATACAGTATTGCAAGACATGTGCAAAAACATATACGCTTGATTGCAGTTCTTGAAAGTTTGGACAATGGAAAGTCTATCAGAGAAACACGGGATGCTGATACACAGATTGTTGCAAGACATCTTTATCATCATGCTGGCTGGGCAGAGTTAATGGAAACAGAAATGAAAGGTACGTTAGGAGCTATTTTGTTAGGAGCTATAAAACTTGGAATTCTTGCCTTCTTTCCCAAAATCCATGGTGAAAAGCCAACTTTTTAACCATGATGGGTCATGTCTCAACTCTCAGTCTCAGACTTGAAATCTTGTTATTTGCACAGATGAGTTCAGCTGATCACACACATTTAAAAATTTGTAGTGTTTGTAGTGTGGTCTATTTCCAAAGGGCTAGCATTTTGCCAGCCAATGATTTTTTAATCCTTGTGAGAGATGCAGGATACCAGGCAGAAGGGGGTCCTGGCTGTTGTAATAATTCCCAGGTACTGTTTTATTTATGTTGTGATAAGGTTTTCCAATATTCAAGGCCTATATGACTGTTGTGATCACTTCCTTTTCCCAGCTATTAAACATCTTAGAAGCTGGTCAACATTTTTTATGTTTTTTTAAGATTGAACCTCATTCCCAGATTGAGAGTGACAGTGGGTGCAAGTCATCAGCCAGAAACCCCTGAGAGACATTTCAAGGCTTTAATTTGGTATGGCTGTTTCTCATTGGCCTCCTACGTAATCAGGCCTTGTGTGCAGCAAGAAGGATATGTTTAACAAACTGAGCACCTTCAACTTTCTAGGCACTCGATTGAGCATCACAAATATCATCAATAAAAAAGCCAAATCAATCAAGCTCCTAGAACTTTCTAGGCGCGTGCAGAGGCACTTAATCAAGTTTGAGCGCCTCTTCTTACAAGGCCTGTACATAATCCCTCATCAAGAACCATGGTTGCTTTCAGAAAAAGACATTTATGAAGGATATATTATTTTACATAATTTAGCTATTGACAAAAGGTTGCAGCGTTGTTAAACTGTGCTCAACATCTTGTGCTTCAATTTTTGTTCTAAAACTTTGCAAGACCTTTTCAAACATCATATCAAATTCAAGCCAAAACTATGGAGCATAATTATAACAACAAGTTCATTAATATTGCCTGGAAATTTCCTTGGTTTTAAATTGACCAAAATTTGAGATAAATGTTTTCATACACTAGATCCATTTCCCTGTCATTCCTTGTTGTAATCCTAGATGGCAGTTTGAAACAATTGAGGAGAATTCATATAAATCCAATTCAACTTCATTTAGAAATATTCATGATTCTCAAACTTCCACTCCATTGATCTTTCTCGCTAACACTACTTCTCTGCACTAACTTGACTCTAACTCAAACTTTCTAATTATGCAAGAGCAATAACCGCTAATATAACTACTTCTTAATATTCCTAATAAATCACAGTTTCAAAATTTTTCTTGCCACCAACCAAACCTCTGAGCAAATCTACTTCTTGCAACTTCCAGCCCACTTTCAACTCTCCCCCTCCCAATTGTGACATCCCTTATGATCCTTGTCATGCTGTTAAGATGTAAGTGTTAAGATGTTAAGATTAAAGTATGGCCACCTTTTCACTAAAGTAATCCACATCTTTAACAAAAAATTCCTGTAAATCTCCATTGCTGCATAGTTAATTCTAGGTGCATTATTTCAATTAATGTCTTACTATACTACAGCACTACAATTGTAAATTAAATCAAATGTGTGAAATGCAAACTTTTTGGGCCCCTCAAGGTTGATTTCTGAGTAATGAATATCATTTCAGTCCATCCCTGCATTTTAAATATGGGAATAATTAAAGTTTTGATCTTGCACCCATTGTTTTCAATATTTGCTACTATGGTATTGACTTCATACTTCATTTTCCTTGAATCCCAGTTTTTTGGATTTCTTATGTGTTACCTTTTTTGTTCCATTTCTCAATTTATGTTAAGGATGGAGTCCAATTGGTGTTATTGGTGGTATCGTTCCATGGAATTTTCCCCTAATGCTGTTATGTTGGAAGGTCTGTCCAGCTTTGGCAATGGGCAATACTGTGGTACTGAAGCCAGCGTCATACACTCGCCTCTCTGCCTTGCTTTTTGCAGACATTTGCTCTGAGGCAGGTTTACCACCAGGTGTTTTTAACGTAGTCACTGGACCAGGCTCATTTGGGAGCTTGTTAGCCACCCATCCTGATGTAGACAAAGTTGCATTCACTGGTTCTACAGAGGTAAGAATGTATTTATATGTATATGCAGTGAAAATACCCAGAAATATCCATGTTGTTGGGGATGTTGGGGAATCGCAAAATACCCATTTTGAGAATAACATGAAACCCTTTTGTGAGTTATTTTGACAAGGCCTAATTCAAGCAATTTTTCTTGATATTGTGTTACTATGATTCTATGGCATACTTGTTAGGTAAGGATTTGTGATTGTAAGTCTTTTGAATTCACACAGTGTTGACCTATAACGAAGTATCTATAGCTTTTAAGCCTTAAAATTAAACCATAGTATCCCAAGTAGGGAGGAAGCTGTTCTATATTTTTGGTGATTCCAAAGTCAACGTTATTCCATTCAATTCTCTCCAAACTGATAGTTGCTTTGGTATATTGATAATAACATGTCTTGCTGCTCCTCTAATCCGAGTATTGTAATTAATGCACTTGTCAAGTGATTCGTCAAGGCAATTGAGCTGATAAATATATGTTGTTTTAACCTTCCAGGTTGGCATGATTCTCAGAAAATTAACTGCTGGAAGTGGTAAAAAGCTGTCTCTTGAACTTGGAGGTAAATCTCCAGTGGTAGTTTTTGACTCGGCAGATTTGGACAGTGCTGTTGAAGGCATTGTACAGGCAATTTGGTTCAATCAAGGACAGGTATGTTATATACTCTAAAAGTTTACCTTGAAGTTGACATTGGTTTACATCGAAGAAAGATATCTTACTGTTGGGGACATGACTTCCTCTCTGATGTCAAATCAAGCAATAAATTTGTATATGTCTGGTAAACTGTGAAAAAGCAGGCTGCCTGTTTCTAGTTTTCAGTTACTCTTCAGCCCCATAACCCTTGAAAGTATATTTAAATATATCCACGTTATTTTTGTTTTTCCAAAACCATTGGTTAGCCACCTATATCTGCTCTAAGTATCAAGTGATCTGTTCAATGTCATACCAGAAAAGCTTTCCACACCGTCCCTTTCTTCAGTTCAGTGCTATTAATTGTTTTAGGTCTGTAGTGCTGGTTCAAGATTGCTCGTACAAGAAACAGTAGCCGAGCAGCTCATTGATAAAGTTAAGGAGAGAATGAAGCACCTAAGGCTGGGACATTCCTTGGACAAATGCATCGATATGGGACCAATTGTTGATGAGTCTCAAAGGAAGTCAATTGATGAGTTCGTTCAGCATGCAAAAAGTGAAGGAGCAGAGGTTAGTTTGTATGAAATGTATGTGCCATTGTACGAAAATGCCAAATCGTCATATGAAAATGTTCCCATAATCAACTTTACATTTAAGTAAGTATCCTTCGGTAAGTTTGTGGTTTCGAGAAGTACAACCCCAGCTGCATCTGCACCCAGAGACATTTCTCTAGAAACCTCAGTGCTTAATCATCCTAATAAACACTTGATCGAAAAATGCTCTTCATACCTTTGATTGAAATATGGCTCTTGGTCCATCTGCTGCTATTTGAGAAGCATTTAGCCCGCTTGGGTGTGAATTTCTCTCATTGAAATCCAGTAATTTCTGTTTTTAGTTGATATCAGACGTCCTTCTGGTTGTTTAAAGTAATATTTTTTTTAGGTCTACCAAGCATGTGCCTCTATGCCCAAGACAGGTTGCTTTTATCCACCGACCCTTGTTACAAATGTTTCCACAACATCCAGAATTGTGATGGAAGAGGTAAGACAGTAGAAAGTAACCTTTGGCAAAGACATTGATAAATTATCTTTTGCCAATTCCATTGTCAAATCAATGTTACTCTGTTATTGAAATAATTGTGAAAAATTTTGAAATGTTTGAGCTAGGCAATTTTTTAAGTATTGATGAAAAATGGGAAGTTCCTTACTTGTAACTAACTCTATAAGGGTTTGATATGATCCAGACGTTCTCCGAATGCAAACAAATTATCCTAAGTTCCAACCAACGTTGGTTACGGAGTCAGTGGAAAATAAAATGCAGTCAGTGATACAACGGTTCTGTGAACGCTCTTATGATAGGATTTAAAAATCAGATGTCATATATCTTACGTATTAACAACCTCAGATTTATTTTAGCTTTGGCTCATCTAACCAAAAGGCTAACGATGATGTATTGTGAGTTATGTATCGGTTTCATAAAACCCCAGCTTTCTGTTACCAATTTTTCTCCTAAGTGCATAGAGTAAAGTAAATTTGTTTGTTCATGTAGGTTTTCGGTCCAGTTCTGACAGTAATGACATTTAGGACGGCAAAAGAAGCTATTAGTTTGGCTAACAACACCAGATACGGCCTTGGCGCCAGTGTTTGGAGTGAAAAGATCGGTCTAGCCATGGAAGTTGCTTGTAATATCAAAGCAGGAACCGTATGGATTAATAATCACAACCTATTTGATGCTGCATCGGGCTTTGGTGGCTACAAGGAAAGTGGCTACGGAAGGGACGGTGGAAAAGAGGTCAGTTGCTTTGTTAACATTTGCTCAGCAAAAAGGCTTTTCATCGAAGATGCTTGATCTTTAACGAACTCGCATTCAGTCCAGGGGCATCTGATGAATTTTATATTTTAATGAACAATCAAAATATGATAAAAAATTCAAAACTTGAAGAGACTTCTTATGCTAAAAATTGCGCTTTAAATTTTGCTTATTTTCATATTTGCCATTTATTTTTTCTTTCATTTTCATTTGAGCAACATTGTCAACAAAGACAAAATAATTTTGTAATTTTTACGGTTTTTATTTCTTCTAGATATTAAGTTACTTTTATATTATCATCATAACCATGCTACATTCTAGAGAAACGGAGATATTGAATTTTTGTACACATCCTTTTTAGATTATTTTGTATATGTAAAGATAGTTTTGATTTGACATTGACTTTCCTTAATAGGGGCTTTATGAATATGTAAAGCCAAGTTGGCAAAAAAGGGCAAGACCGAACGTCGAAAGCTACGATATAAAACATTTTGGACCAGCCTCTTCTCCACCTGTCTTGAATGCAAACGAGAGTCTACCAGCCAATGCTAATTCCGTTGATCCAAAGTGAGTATATAACGAATATGTTCCTAGAAAGTGATTTTTATACTACGAATGCGTGGATAAACAGTTTTTAGAAACCTCAGTATCCTATCATATACATTGGCAGATATCTAGATATCCTCTCCTTTTTCTGTGTATTCTTCATGTCTGTGTCTGTGTACATGATTCCAGAATGTTTCCTCAATCTTGGCTCAAAATTTTTGATCCCTGTTCTTGCTACTAAAAATCTTCCTATATGGATCTTTATCTTGGCATTATCTCTGTCTCTATCCTGTTTCCCTAAGTTTTTCTCTAGACATTTTCAAGCATTTCCTCAACTTTGTCCCAATGTGATATTAAACATTGTCCCTGCCCTGATTTCAGGTCTATAACTAGGCTATTGATTCATTCAGGTTTTCGTCTTTCTCATTAACTCTTTTTGTCTGATATCTTGTGTTGTCAGATTTCTCTATGCAATGTAGTTTTAAAATTTTGTGAAGTTTTCCCCCACGTTCATTGCTTGGTAACTGTTTTTTGTTGTATTGATAATGATAATGATGATAAAACTCTTTTAAAGTATCTGCAAGTGATATACTGCAGCGCTGTTCACATTAGCAAACATACCAATTTGACTACAGCCCAGTTCCACCCACGTTAAACCCAGCTTTATTTACACTAAATTTTATTTAAAGAAAAAGTGTAAATACGAATGTGACTCGAACCCAGGCTACTTACTTGTGCACTGACGTTCATGCAAACGAGGAGATATTGCAACATTCTCACTAATTACATTTCCACTATAGTTTAAAAGATTTTACCCGGACTCGAGATGGGTACATCTGAACAAAATTTAGCTATCTTATTCTAAACAGGAGTTAATATTACTTAGTCTGTTCTTATATACTGCCAATATATATATTTTCATTTTGTTTTATATTCAATAGGGTTGATCGCACCCACAAACTTTTTGTCGCTGGGAAGCAAAAGCGTCCGGATGCCAACTATTCTCGGACAATTTTGAACAAGGATGGAAGAATAATTGGCCAGGTTGGTGATGGAAACCGCAAAGACATTCGGGATGCTGTGGAGGCTGCTGCAGGGGCCTTGTCAGGGTTCGTTTCTTGAGGAGATTTCTATCGAGTTGTTTTTTAAATATCTGATGACTTTATTTGCTGCTCATATGCATTTGAAGTCAAAGTCTGTATTAGCTCACTGTGTGCAATTGTGACATTGTATTTGTAAAAAAAGTTTTATTGTGAAAGTATTTCTAAATATCGAAGTTATCAAGAATAAAATGATGATTTATTTGTGATGTGTGTAGTCTTTGATACAATATTTTGAATCATTCATAACCTAGAAACATAACCGAAAGACAGTAGAATCCTCTCAATGGGCATACGATTTCTGCATCTTACATTTAGATCAGTTTTTGTTTTACTTGATTAAGAAGGCTTTATCAATTTTCCCTTTCCAGTTGGAGCAAACGAACAGGACACAACAAAGCTCAGATTATTTATTACGTGGCTGAAAATTTAGAGCTACGGCAAAGTGAAATTGCAAACAGACTGCAAGAAGAAGTTGGTTGTGATTTCGAAGATGCCCAGAAACAAGTCACCGCGTCCATCCAAAGATTATTCCATTGGGCGGCGTACGCTGATAAATATGGCGGAAGTGTACAGGTGCGGTTTTAGAGAAACTTTTTTGATATAACAGAAATCTCAGTTTATAATGGGTCTCTGCCTCTAAGCTGGTTGTAAACGAAGAGAATTTCTATTATGATTATAACAGTCCGATACCCCATATATTTGCGTTCGTGGTAGAAGCCTCTTTACATATGTAGATAGAACGGAATGTATTCAATTAATAGCTTAGGCCATAATGTATGGTAAGTTCATAAGCTATTTTGCAAAGCAGTGAATGCGCTACATTGAATTGTATCCTCGTTGTAAGGGGGCAGAGCCACGAGCGGAAAGAGCCGAGCCTCTTCCACAGCTCTCCTGTTTATGATGCCCTATAACCGCCATTGCTTGCAAGAATGTTGTGCATTTTGCATTTACCAAAATAATGTTGAATTCTTTTACAGGAAACGCAGCAATATGGCACAGTACTTCGCGTTCATGAACCGGTTGGTGTGTTAGCAATCGCCTGTCCAGATGAGTCTCCATTACTCTCGTTCATCTCCTTGCTCGGACCAGCTATCGCACGTGGCAACACTATCGTTATTGTTCCTAGCGAGAAGTATCCGTTGAGCTCAATGGATGTTTGTCAGGTAAATATTATGATCACCTACAGCTCTCTTTCTTTTTGTTTAAAAAACCTGGTCAAGACCTTTCTGTATCTTCCCTAACTTTTGGGCAGTTGAAATTCTTTACTTTTACAATGGTGTAACCAAGGAGAGTGCTGATCCTATCCATGATAACTCAATCAGATAATGTTTTGGTGAGAAAACCTTGGAAGGCGCTATGTTACTCCACCTTTCTCCCGTTCATTCATTTTCCAAACAGTTACGTTCGTCGAAATCAATGATAAGAATTCTCTACTTTACGTCTCCACATCTCTACGTCTTACACAAAATATTTAGTTTTATAAGCCCATAGGCTTGTGTGATCCTGGTTACGTCACTGCTTAACTAAATCTGAATTTTCTTCCTGAAATAGCTGGAACGAGTGTTTTGAATGAAGAGAATAAAGAAGACAATCATTGAAAACTGACTCTTTTCAATGTAGCCTTTTACAAACTACAGCATCATTTACGAGCTTTGTCGATTTTTTTAGAAACGATACTTAAATACGAAGTAATTACTTAGTAACGTTACTTAGAAACGAAATAATAAAATTTTCTAGAGATTTTGAAATCCTTGACTCGTTTTAAAAATGTCTTTTTTCCTAAACAAGGTGTTTGAGACCTCTGACGTTCCTCCCGGTGTTGTGAACGTTGTCACTGGAAGCAGGGACCACTTGACGAAAACTCTTACAGAACATCAAAACGTGAATGCAGTTTGGTACTTTGGTTCTGCTGAGGGTAGCAAGTTTGTCGAGGCGACCTCTGCATTTAACATCAAGAGAACTTGGGTCAACTATGGTGAGTCACGTGATTGGTTTGATCAGCAGCAAGGCGCTGGGGAGGAGTTTTTGATTCGATCTGTAGAATGTAAGAATGTTTGGATTCCTATGGGACATATTTATGCGAACTGAGCTGATTTGATGTAACTTTTTGTAGCGCAAGGGAATTGTTTTTGTTGTTTGAGAATGGGAATGAAATATAGGAATGAAATATTTGGACAGAAGTTTGTGCCCGTCTTTTCAGCCTTCTCTATTTAATCAGAAAGTCTTCGATGTTTCATTGTCATTTACATGTACTTGTAAAATCTGTTCGGATTGATCTTAGCGAGACTGAAAGGACTGGCGAAGTAATGGAAGAATGTGTCTTTTAATAGGCTGGATTCGCAGCACTGCCAAACCTAAATAAGATTGTCTAACTATGCAAACTATGTAATTTGTATACTTGTTGTTGTGGAGACGAAGCAGCGCTTGTTCGAAGGTCTCTCGGCTTTCAAATTGTGCACCATATGCACATCCGCAGTTGAAGCTTCACATGTTTTTGAGCTTAGCGCAATCTTTCTTCGCATGTTAAAAATTCACTCGTCAATCAGCTGCTTGAAAAGTTGTTTTGTGTGCTATCCTTGAAATTGATGAAAAATTGACTGCTTCACAGCATTGCAAATTCAATCAATTTCTGTATCTTAACTTCTAGAAATTAAAAGCCAGATCGCAATTTTAGAAATTTGCCGCAGCTAGCATTCCAAAATGACAAAAACATAGATTCAGGTTGATTAAATGGTCTTGAAATTGGCCCAAGAAACCCCTATCCAGTTTATTTAATACTGATCCTCTTATTTCCTTTCTGTTTTTGTTCCCTAATCGCATTTGTCACTGTCATAGTTATCTATGGATAGGAATATTACGTAAACTGGAAATCAGCAAGTAAAAATCTTTTGATCACAACTGTCACAGGTAAGTTAGTTGTTTGGTAATATACCATTTACGTCGACCATGTCTTCTGTCCAAAGCTTATTTTGTTTTGCTCTGTTTTTGCGATATTTACAATGTTCGATGTCCAGACCTGTGATTCTCCAAGATTGAATTACTCGATCTCAGGTGTTCATTAACTTGTAGGTTTTCCTTATGAAAATAACTAATTTGCTTTGTGATATATGAAGTCACGTTCGATTTAAATCGAGCTATGTTTTACATTTTACCATTTCTCCTCAAGGTCTCTCTCGAGCTTTTCTTACATTAAATATTTTACAGTAGAGCAAGCTGGACTTCGTGAACATACCGTCTGTAAATGCATGTGTACGTTAAGTTGGTGTCTCTAAAACAGGAAGCAAATACCTAAGAGTAGCAAGAATTTTTGCTAGGACGCACAGAAAACAGACAAATACAAAATTTTTCATGGAGATAAGTTACCCTTACTTGTATATATGCTATCATAATTTAGCTGTTTTAAGTGGAAATAGAAATTATAAAAGTCTTGTTGCTCAACATGCTTATATCAAATACTTCGAAAAACGTTTTACCGGTCTCCCTATTTCTAATTGCTTTTTGTTATGACTAGGCCTATTTTTGATTTATCGCTTAGTCAGCAGACTTCAAATATTTGCGACATGGTTAGCCTATACTTCAGCGAATCATTTTCGTAAAGGGAATAAGGGCCTACTTTCTTTGTAATGATAATAGAATAAATAGGAATAAAATAAGAATAACAAATTCTAATGAGCCAAAAGGAAAGAGCCATTTAGGCCGATGTATGCGTAAAAGTGAGTTGTGATATTCTAACTACTCTATAAATTCATTCTTCCTTAGATGCCGATCGTTAAATACGTCCATATAAGTATTATAAGAGCACTTTTTCTTAATAAGTTCTATAAGATAACGATATTGGTAACGGGAACTGTAATCTTTGGTTCAGTGGCTTGCTACATTATAAATGATTTACCTAGATTTTACTACGAACCAGGACTAGCACATGACGGCAAGAAATGAAACGAAATTGTTCCATTGAACATACTAGCTTCTACTTTCCATTTTAAAATGAAAAATAGAACGAAATACCTTGGAGAGCTTTCGAAACCCGTTAGGTTTCCTCTTCTATTGGAGCCTTCCTACCAGCTAACTATCGACAACTAGGTACTATTTCTAAGAGACATATTTGCTTCTAAATTAAAATTGATGCTGATTCCTTTGTATACAAATAAAAATTCAACTAACCAGAAAATAAGTCACAAATTTAAGTACTGGTACATACATATTTTCTAGCTAAAAGAACAAATCTACATAGGTACAAACGGGCAGTATTATTAATGCACCCATCTAACTTTTTCTCCGTACAGCAAGCTTCTACAGACTTCATATGCAGCAAATTGGATTCCTATTGCTGGCGCAACCTGCAAGAGAAGTAGAGGGATATGAGAGGTGGGTTCCGGGGAACTTTGGTATGTTGCTAGTGATATGTTTTATTGAAAGCATATATTTCGTTTCAAGGCTACTTACAGGCAGCTCCTCTGTACAGACCTCCCTAAAGCTTTTTTTGTGCCTGCGAGCACAAACTGTTTTGCAAAAAGTGCCGGCAAGATTCTTCATATGCATTGCGTAGGATATAAAATTGTTTAAAATAAGAGACATAAAGTAAGGTTTAATTACGCAAAGACCGGTAAATGTTCACAGAACTTCTTTGACAGAAAATTACTTTAGAATGACGATGGTTTTATCAACAAAAATAACATAATAGAGTTTAAACAAACTTTAGCTTACAACAAAAAGGGTAAATTTGCAGCGATTGTGTCCTTAATTTTATTCGAACAACGAACGAAATGGCAGTCGGTTTTATTGCTTGATATTGTTTTTATACTATAATTAAGGATACTTTCAACTTTTTTGATATTTGGACTATTAACAGCAATCACAATTTCCATCACTTGCACGCCCCACCCAGATTGGTAGTTGTTCCTGGATATTTTTACATGGAAGCTTTCAATCAATGACCAATTTGACTTAAAGCTTGCTGCAGCAACGCAAACAGAATAAATAACCATATCAAGATTTTTGGACATCTTGTTCTTGCTGTCAGAAAATCTATTATTCTCTTTTTGCTACATAAATCACTTCCACAAAGCGGTATAGCATGGCGAAACTTGTAGCTGAATTGTTTCTCTAAATTCTTAAACAACTGAAAACTTTGAACAAGTCTATCTAAGACCGCCTGCAGAAGTAATTTGACCGGCATGGTTTGCCTGCGAGCGCACTTTAGCGAGGCCTGCTTCTGTTCAGATGAAGACCGCTCAGCTCTAAATCTATAGGCTGAGAAAAGGTAACACTAAAAATGTAACCTGGGGCTCAAAAATTGATCCAAAATAAAACTTTTGTGAAAGGTTTAGGCCCAGTCTGTATCACGTTTGTACTTGAGCATTACACCAATAATTAAAAGGATTCAAACATTGTCCATGCTTGTTCAAAACCCCTTTGTAAAAAATGGCCTAAATCATAGATAATGGTGGCTATATTTTCATACAATGATTGCTTACAAACCTTTACAAGATTCGGTACGTTTCCTTTATACAGTCCGTATATTCCTTCTTTTTGAAATATCATTTTGCATGCATGTAACGTGGAGTTGTACGCGAAGACATTACCATGGGTGCCTTTCATCTGCATTCGACGACGTATGACGTCAATTGGGTATGTTACTGCAAAATGAAAATATATGTATGGTTTGCGGAATAACTGGTGATTTTAGACTTGAGTACTTTTGTAGAAATGACGTTGGGTAGATAGAGTATCTAGAATTCGAGACAACCATTCCCTCGAAGTTATGCATTATCTTGTGTTAATTAATAAGGCTATACCTCTCGTCGATCTTTTGCCTTCATAAGTTAATTTGCAGTTTCTTTACCTTTGAATAGGTAAAACTTTGATTGCTTAAAAGGCCATTGGTATGAAACTTCAAATTCAAACAATTTTCTTAAGTTCCCTAGTTTCAGTCTTTTTTTCTTCAATTTTCTCCAATTTTATTCTCTATGACCCTGCAAAGCCAGTAATTCATGCCTAACAAAACCATTCAAAGAATATACCCACCTAGCCTATTTATCTCGTGTTATTATCCTCTGTAACTTTCTCTGCCCATTTAAAGCCACAATGGTCGTGGTATATTGACAAATGACCCTTATATTTTCAATCGAATCTTTTCCCTAACTACATCTTTGTTTTCAAATCAAAGCTATACTACACCTAGAGACTTTCTCGACCCATAGATTTCTTCTCATGATTGGTATCCTTTCCAAGGCCTAGAAAGATGTCACACCCGCTTTTTACCAAACGGCAAACAGTGCTACACATCCAGTACAACGTATGCATGCTTTAGATGGGGGTATCGTCTCTATTTTTCACAAACACAAATAAGTATATGTAATGGCCTACACGTTTGGGAAACTGCACCGGCTACTGAACCACATAATAATTTCCAGGGAACAGGAAGGTCTTTGCTTGGCGCTTCGTTCTCTTCTAGGTTTTTGTTAATTAACGGCAAACACCATCCTACAGGAAAAAATTAGAGCGAGTGTGCTTTCAAAATGAAAGTGGAAATAGTAAAAACTGTGAAAGGTTCCTCATTTTGTAGCCAGTATGTCAAAAGAAGAGATTGAACAGCTTTGGGCATGATGGAATATTTTGTTCCTTGGCAAATCCCTTTCCCAAAGTACTGGCTCTGACATCACAAATCACAACATGAGTTGTAATTTTAATTGACAAGTCCCCTGTTGTCACAACATCCATTTTTAAATCATCTTCTAGTGGACTTGAATGACTTAAAAGTGCCATTGAAAGTGAATGTTTAAAAACTTTATTTTACCTTTTGTTGTTTCAAACACCAAAAAATTGAGACCAACATATGGTGCCACACCCTAGTAAGAAGAATTAATTGAAAATGGAAAACCGTTTTGAAACAACAATTAATATTGCTACAAATATACAATAATTCTGCAAGTAACCTTTCGAAGAATGAGTTATTCTTAGAGATAAACCTTCTTTGATAAACCCTGCATCTTCTTAATGTTTATCTTTGCATCTCACATAAAAAGATCATTTCTTTGTTGACATTGATAAGGTGGCAACTATTTTATTAGGTGAAATGTTAAAGGCAAGAAAGTCCAAATTTCTTTAAAACAGGATAGATGACATATCCTACCATAGAAATAAGGCAAAATTATGTATCTATGCAAATAAAAGTAACAAGTGTACATACAATTAGGGTTGGGCCAAGACCTCTGAACAAACTTCCAGATAAAAGCCCTCCTTCTTCTTTGAGTATTGTGGAAAAGCAGTGAAATATTCCCCTGTAAGAAAAACACCACAGTTATTGATAAATAAATGCATCTATCTTGGGCTCGAATCCAACTGCCTTTAATGTATTAAAAGAATTATATATTTTCTACCTTTTTACATTACTTTGCTAGTTTTAATGTTTTAATGTTTAATGTTTTTTGTTTGATCAATTTGCATTTTTTGTAAAATATCCTGGCAGGGTTCTATAAACTATTCAAGATAAATACCAAACCCTAGAGGAATCAATATATAAGGATGAAATGGCAATTTCGTTGATCCTGAAATTTGAACACTTAGAATGTAAAGAGAATTATCTAGAATTCAATTTATAAAAAATCAAATTTGTAGTATAGGGCAAAAAAATTGTCAAGGTACTAGTCTAGATTTTTTGATGTATATATTACTAAAACAGCCAATAACCAGAAAATTACGAAAGTTGTGTAGACATGCTGCTGTTAAAATAAAGAGACAGTTTTCTTTCAATACGCACCTGTATTTCTTCTGTGTCCCTTCTCCTTGAGCTGCTAAACGGGTCCTGTAACACAGCAAACATCATTTTTTTTGGTCCAAAATCCAAAAAGGCATTATAAACATTCAGAAGTTGGGATAATACTGAACAATGCCACAACCAAATAATGCTCTTTTCAAAATTGGCAGCTTATGTAGGAACTGTCCTGTTCCACACACACCCCAGGTATTCTGCATTAGATGACTATGATTGACAGATTAAGGCAAATGTCTTTTTCTTGACCAATTCTTTGCATTCTGATTATCCAGGACACAATTTGTTTTCATGGACTAATTTCTGCTTTACTTTTTCAACAACTGATGAGTGACTTTCTGCTTTTTCAACTTACCTTACCAAATCCATAGGATATGTTGTAGCAACAGATACAATACCAGCGATAGCACCTGCAGTTAATTTCTTAAACGGATGCTGTTCTCGAGGATCTTCTGGTATATTCATTAACTAGAAAAAGGAAAATGTTGATTAAATTGAAAGCAAGTAGAGTAGATTCTGGATAGATTCATATCAAACATTGATTGAAAAGCTGTAAATGTAAGCCATACCTGACTGTAAAATTGAAGAATTTTTGGGTTTAAATTTCATGACACTGCAACAGGCATTTGTGACATTATTTATGCAAAGTATTTTTATGTGACATTTTACTGAACCTACATCAGTTCAGACTTGTGCTTTCATCCTTTCTGACAAGATCAGCATGTGACCAATTCCTTAATGAAAATACCAATACCTTTATTCAGTGCAACCAACAATTACAAACGGTAGCCATTGGCAATCTTCACAGTTGCTACCACACAAGAATTATTCCATAACATAACATCATTTTACGAAATTATATTCACACCTTTTTGCATTCTTCATATGTCATAAACTGGACTGCAGTGTATGGAGCAATTCTTGCTACATTGATTCCATTTCCCTGTTACAAATAGAAGCACAATACTATATTATAATAAACTATAGCTATTGCCAAAGTTTATTAACACGTATTTCTGACAAACATATGCCTTTTTGGAAAACAGCAATGTTTCAATTTTTCATTTTTAATTGAATTCAAGGTTTCTGGTAAAACTTTGGCTTTATAAGTCAAGAGTCATAGGTCAAAGGGCATTTTTAAATTTTGACCTTTTAGGGAGCCATGACCAAACATCTGTGTTAAGATATTCACTAGGATTTCTGAAATACAATGTTAACATGGGTTTTAATATATGAATAGGGGTGAATATAAAATATGCAGCAATCACTCTTTTTGCAACTTCTTCGCAAGTTTTGTTTTTCGGATGTAAGGCGTCCATTGAAGCAGCATTTATTGGTAAACTGTATAATATAATTACATTGTATTTACCTTGAAATAGCCAATAATTCCCTCTTCCTTCCAAATTGTTTTTAGCGTTCCAAAAACACCTTTAAATTTAGCATCATGAACTTGAAGCTTCATGGAATTGAAAAATAAAAGTTAAATATGCTTTGTGACAGTTTCTACTCAAAATCTTATCAAATAAAACATTGCCACTACCACAGAATAAGTCTACCTGAATCTATTTCATTGAAAATTCCTGCAGTATTAGATAATCAGTCAAAATGTTTTTCAAAGATTTCAAAAGGTCACAAGGGTTTCAAATGTCATATTTCACAGGCCAAAGTTTAAAAGTTATTTTGCATAAGAATAGGTTGAAATTGTATTAATCATACATAAATGTACTCAAAAAAACAGGGTCAAAGGTTTGATATACCTCCACCAAGAAAGCTGGCATTTTTCCATTGAGGAAAATTTATTTGGGAAAGTTCAAATGAGACCCTGTGTTCTCATAGAATTCATTGAAAATATCTTGAGAGAATGTTGCATTCAGTTAAAGGTGATTATGCCATAAATGTAACACCTGTAGAAGGATCTTGTTTCTCTCTAATGGTGAAACACAAGTTCTAGAAACTGCTCCTGCAATTCCTCCAGCAACAAAATGCTTGAAATGCTTGTCATCCCATATTGCTTTTAGCTTGTCCAATTTTCTCTCTGCAAGAAATAAACAAACTCTGCATATATTTCTTTGGTTAGCAGAAATTGATTTGCAACTTTACAGTACGTAAATTTTCCAAAATGTTGAAATCTACTTAAATCATGATAACTGCACATGTAATTTGTAGCTACCAATTTCCTTAACAAGTTATTATTTGTCGTCAAAATAAAGGCTTGACCATTAAATGGTTTAGAAATTGGATACAAAGAAAAGTAACCATGTTTTCCTGAATTACATTGCAAGGACTACAGAAGCAAGAAGCTTAGGAACTTTGTGCCCAATTCCCCGATTCCTCGAATATGTACTCAAAGTCATTCAATGAATCATCTTTCTTGTGGTTTTTAGCATGTTGAGCCCTCCAAACGTTTTAACCCTTCCCCAATCTGTAATGTGCACTGTATTACCGCACATTAAGATTTTTTTGTAGGTATTTCTTCTGTGTGAGGAATTCCAGAGGAATAAAATTTGAGTTCATAGAAAAAAGAATGTTTGTGAGAAATTGTGTGTGGATTTGATAGCAAAGGTTTTAGATGAGATCTTGAATTATTTGTTTTTACTTGTAATCCAAAGTCAGAAGTTTAAATGGTGGAATCTTTCAGGGTAGCATGGCCAGATAAACAAATATGATTAAGCACCATCTCTACGAAATATTCTTAATAATGTTCAGGCAAACTGAAGGATGAAAATAATTGCCCCAAGAATGCACTCCTCGTGAAGACGAAACTTCACAGTCTAGCACAGTGAGCTGAACTGAATAAAATTCACAAATTCGAATATGCATGAAATAACTGAAAATGCTGCTGTATTATGCAGTCAGTAAGTGTCAAAAATTGGTGGCCAGCAGTTAATATCTGGAAGGTCTATTTTGAATGAAACAGTTGTTTAAGCTACAACCATATCTTATCAAGATTTTCTTACAGCTGCATTTCATTCCTATTTATATTTCTATCTAGAGACACCAGTTGTGGTAATGATGACCTGGACGCTGTTTGTTGGCCTATGACCTGAAATCATAGACTATGACCTGCAGTTTGATTTAACAACCTTAAGGATCAGAGGACAAAATTAAAAGAAAACTGAGTAAATCAAGTTCATAATTCACTGTTTGCTTGGGAATTATAAATTTAAAAAGGAATGTTCTGGGGCAGAGCACCGGCATTATTATTTCCAACCTAGGTAGGCCCAATTCTGCAAGTGGGCGGAAGGTTCACCTTTCGGGTGTCCATAAGACAAAAACAGATAAGCTTATGTGAAACATTGGCGGGTGAAGAAATAAGAATGATACCTTTATGTGGCTCAAGATGTTGGTCCCCATGCGCTGACTCGGATATTTCTAAAACCATGACGAGATCTCAGTAAACCAAAGTGCTCTACGAAGGTCTGTTTGGATGCGGATGTCTGACAGCCTGGGACTACTATCCCACCATGACGTCATAAGCGTCATTGATCTTGGTCAGAAACATTCGTGAGCAGGTACATGTATTTCCTAGATGACGTTCAATCTATATCATGTGATATTTGTGTTACAATTCCGCTTTGTTCAATAATATTTATTTCAGTACATCATTAAACATTTATTCAAATCAAGTTCAGGAAAATTTTTTACAAACTGCAAACCTTGCACTGCAGTCGAAGACTGTTACTTTTCAATGCCATCACAAAGACAAACAAAGAAAATAGAATTTCAGAAGCTATGAGATCTATCTTCTTTAAGGATTGTTCTATTGAGTGAAAACAGAAGAGATTTTATTTTTAATGTGAAATAAACTCGACAGATGCTACAGTTTGTGTAATGTAGGAAAGGATAATTTATGGGTCAAAAGCAATGACGACGCCAGCCATCAAGCCCTGGGGAAGGGGGGGACAAACCAAAAAAGTTTAAGCCACGCCCTTTTAACCACCAGAAAACGCCCTTTTACCAACAAGGAACGCCAATTTTATCCGAAGGGAACGCCTATGGCTAACTTTTGTTTGAAAATTGGCAGTTTGAAAATCATAGGATTACATCACAAAAAGTATGGTGTCAAAATATTACTCCTCCTCCAACATTTTCTCATCAAATTTAGACGAAATACGAAATCGATTCTGCTGAGAACTGGGGGGGGGACGTGTCAGTCCCCCCCGTGGCGCCGCTACTGGTCAAAAGGCAAAAATAAGAAAAGGAGGGATGATGGGTAATGTAAATCCCTGCAAAGAAGAACGTACTGTTTCTAAGTTGCATAGGAAGCGTAGGGTCAAAGGCAAAGCCTACGCCACCGGGGGGCCGAAGGGGCCATGGCGCCCCTACTTTTTTGCGAAGCAAGTAGTTTTAAAGCTGCAGTAAAAGGAGAAAAGCCCAGCATGAACTTCAATTTACTGGTTTTATAAAAAGAGTGTGACACAATAATAAAAGCTGAATATGCCTTACATATACAACGGCATAATATGCGGCCCCAGTTGTGGAACACCAGTGTGCCGGTTCCCTTATAAAAAGCGGAAGGGTGGTTCGAAAATATTGGACTTGCAGTAATTAAACCATAATCAAATGCAGATGGTTTGGGAATCTTGTTTGCTGCTGTAAGGGATTACGAGAGCATTCGTATGGAATTTGAGCAATTGTCCGCCATAAATGTTGGTTTACCAACATCCCCTTGTTGTGATGTGAGATCATATCGTTTTCAAAGCAACGCGGATCAAGTGTTTGGATTCCAATTCTTCCCAATTATATCAGTCGCCTGATATTTTCCGTTTTTGCTCCATCCGCCATAAGTAGATTCAAACATACAAAGGCATGATCTACAAATTAATTTTGCTTTTTCTCATCGCATTTAATCTGATTTGTACTGGCATCTCATACCGTAGACCTGTGTCCACAAGATGAACAAAGATATTTCACCCTCGAAAGAAGCCATGACTTTAGGTTTTAATCAATTCTAAGATCATCAAACAAAATATTCTCATTAAAACCGTAAAAAACAAATAGAATTATTATTTATGTCACTTGTATCAAATTTGTCTGCAGTGCTCATTATTTCTATAATTTTTTTTAATGTTTTACTGTTCTTAAACGGATATTAACACAAGGAAACAATAAAAAACATGACCCGCCTGACTGAGAAAATTAAACTATGGAAAACAGGTGCGATAGAACAGTTGGTACGTGTCAATATTTTTTAGAAAATGTGCTGAGTTTCATCGAGGGGCGATTCACTCTTGCAAATAGCGTACGAGATTTTGCCTAACACAAAAGGATTTCTGGGGATTTTTATAAAAAACAATAGGATTTTCACAAAAGGTGTACGAGATTTTCTTAGAGTGATTTGCCCCTCGAGTTTAATAAGAGTTTATAACCGAGAGTATGTATGTGAGCCTTTTAATTATTTTTCAAACACATATTTAAATTTTTCAAGAGCCCTTTTGATAGAAGCACTAAATTTTTCGTTTTTTATGATGGATTGCGTGATTCAAGTTCTCAAGTTGTGCAAATTGACTGGCTGCATTCTTGAATGGAATAATAGCTTGAAAATCGCAAAGGATGGAGGATGAGATAAAATCGTGTTATAAAGACAGGATATTTTAAACTTTTAATTCTGGCCTCGATTGAAATTAGTTGATCTTGTGCTTTCCAGAAAACGGAAATAAACGATCATAAACGAGTTTGCATAATCGGCTACAAAACAATAGCGAGGACTAATTAAGAAAAATCCCGTTCTTTGAGATGATGCGAAAATTAACCACCGAAAAACGACCGCGAGTATGCAGATCACATTCTTTCGAAAACAACAGACGCATGTTAGATGACTCGAGTGGGGTGTGAGTTATTGTAGCGACTGTAAGTTTCGAAAATGCCGGGGCTGGTAGCTTTTGGCAGAAGATGGATGGCTGCAACGGATGAGCTGGTTATTCCATTCGGAACTGTTGTTGTTTTTCGTTTGGCTTGGTGAGTCTTTTGTTATTCTCAGACTGCTTTTCAATTAGGCCACATAGATCAGGGGTGGTGCATCTTCAGGGTCGGGTGAACCTAAGGGTGTTGACACTCTTCCTTCCACGCATTGCGATTTTGTTAGTTTGACAAGAATTGCATATCTCGAAACAAGTTGATGAACGGGAAACTTCGTCAAGTTGAACTTGCATTGTTTGTTTGCTTGAACTGGTTGTGTTTCGAAAAAAGTGGGTTCTGTTTGTACCACATACCGCATAACTCGAGACCACAGGAACCGTAAAAGTTCATGAACCTTCTGCTACACTAAGTGCATGATCATTTTTTCGGGGATAGTGTTTTAAAAATCTCGTAAAAAGTCAAAGAAATTGTTTTATGTGTATTCAGTGGCCTTGGCCAAGCGAAAAGAAAAAGGGAAAGACAAACGTTTGACTTAAAGTTAGCTTATGCGAGGACTGTTCCAAACTCCTTCCTCACAGTTCTATTAAGAGGAAATGAAGAAAGATCATTTTTATTTTATCCAGGTTTTAAATATTATCAACTTCACAACAAGCTGCTTGCCAATTTTTTTTTGATTGTGCATTTTCCGCAAGTTGCACCACGAATCTTACTGAAATAAACATGAGTTTCTAACAAACTCCAGAATGAATTAATCAAATTTTGGTTGGTTAAGCTTTTTTCTGGGCTTCTCTTCAATATTTACTGAATTATTCATCATGGCATTAGTTCATCGATTGCGTGATGTCATTTAAAAGACCTCTCTAAGTACAAGAACTTCCTTTAACCAAGTTAAGGCTTAGTATGTGATCAATACTTTGAGCAACCATCAGTGATTTCTGAAGCATGACACAAATCAGTAAGCCATTGAAAGCAGAAAAAGATCGGATCGCAGTTTGACCTGTCTTCAAATTAATTATTGAACTATTTTGATTGTGGGTTATGAAATAGTCCAGCAAACACAATTTTTCAACTATGTACACAAAAGCTGATTATATGCCATTGTTTGTGTTTGGTTGGAAACTCCCTTACAATTATTTCATATCTGGGAATTTTGAAATTCCAATGAAAAGTGCAGACGCCATCAAATAATAACATTGGACTTATGATTGTGGATCAGATATCATTTTTGACCCTTTGAAAATATCTGGTCCTTAAGAAAGAGAACAGGATAACCAGAAATATATGGAGGGTCTCAGCAAAGGTCTCAGCAGAGTTTGTTGCTATGACTTGAGAAAATCAAAATTGCTGGTGTATTTTCATTGATTAATTCTCCAATTTATTCTTTAAGGAAATATAAACTCGAAGTAAACATAGTGCATACTGTCTGGGGGTTTGGAGGCTTGTGCTCCCCTTTTGGGATAAGGCTTAGCTATCCTTAGTAAATTTTAGCAAAAAAAATATTTTCTTTACTTTAAAAGCAAAAAATTAAATAAAATCTTTTTATGCATAATATTATTTACGAAAAAGAATTTTTTGGTGTGCTTTCTTGTTGATTGTTGGGATCATTAGAAGTTTGGGAATAAAACTTGGAACTTAGTAGCACTTTGAGAGTAGTTCAGAAAGGGATTATTAATCAAGAATTTGCTCAAGGAGAGTGTTTAGGAGAAGCTGCCCCTCAAAAAAGAGAGATTCCTGCAGTCCTTTCTATTGTATGTGTAGAAGATCCTTCTACAAATAGAGAAGACCTTAACATTTCCATTGAGGAAGGACCTGATTTTTGTGAGAGCTGGGTTCTCCTACACATATTTTTCTTTTGATTGTCCCAAAATTGAGATTTCTTCATTTTTGTACCTGTCATCTGATATTTCCTTACCTTTGCTGTCCTTGTTTCTCTGGCACTGACATATTTTCACTCTAAAGACACAAACTAAAATTTTCTTAAACTTGATCTTCATCTGAATAATGTAAATATATATTGCTGGATGTGGATACTTAAGTGTGAATAAGATCTCAGTCTATATGTATTAGTTTTATTCAAGTGCTGTTATGTACCTGTAGATATCAAGGGGCAGTAGTCCTGCCATGGCTCAGGTTTGATTCTGACAGAGTTCTGACCAATCTATCAGATGTTGTCAACTGCATCATTGAAGATTCTAACCATGTGACACTCTAAAGTAAAAAGCTGGCAAAACATGATATTAAATTGTAGCCGGGTGGTGTTGATAGTTTGATTATGACAAGCTCGATATTGCATGGCTTGGTTTCACTCTAGAGCTCACAGCTACGAAAGAAAACTAAATTATTTCTAAAAGAGTAAATAACCTAATAATTTAGATTTACTAGCAGTTTGAAGGTTAACAAAATTGAGAACTGTGAAACTGGAACTTTGAATTAGTGTTGCAGGCCTGCCATTTGGAGGAGAGCCATAGCTCTTGCTCCCCCCGGGCTCTCCTCAATTGCGGGAGGGGAGCTACAGATTGCACTCCTCAATTGCTCTTTGAAATCTTTGAAATCAATTTTTTTTGTTTATATTCTTATTATCTAGAATTAGCTCACCACACATTCACTTACACTGGTCCAACCTGAGGTGAAACAAGTTTAATTGGGTTTAATTGCAGGGGGCATATGATCTATGTTTTAACTTGGAGGGACAAACTTATTGCAAACAGAATTTAAGTACACTGAAATTAAAAAATGGCTGAAAGGGGACAATTTTGGAGTTCTTTATTGATTTGTGTTGCAGAAAGGAATTTGTGAGTGAGTACCAACTATTGAAGGGGAAGGAATTGTAGAATGATGGAATATGCATAGGTCAGTTGTGTAAGCAGGTAGGATGGTGAAATGCATTATACTTTTTGAAAGAAAATTAGCATATAAGAAACATGACAATTGAGTACTTGCCACCGTGACAAATGTCCTCATACTGGATGGGTAATTCGTATTGAAACAAGATTTCTATTAAAGCAGTACTCTTTTCAGAGACTTTCTGATAAAACGAGATGATTTCTAGCAAAGGTCTACAAATGATTTCCCCTCGCCCAGACTCATTTGGTATTACGGTTGGTCTTTTATAGGTGGAATTAAAAAAGGGCATTTCTACTTTGTTGGCAACATAAATAAGAATTTTTCTAGCTATTGCTGTTATGGGTGATCTTATCACACTGTCTTATGAAGTCCATCCCAAGCTTTGGATAAAACTCTATCTCTAGAAAAACACGAGCATTTGTTCGAAACGTGTGCGGTATTGTTATAACATTTCGTTGAGACAGCGCATGAGAAAGTCAGGTCAATAGCTTTCCCACATGTTTCCGATCTCGAGGTTACATTTGCAGTTGCTATTTCGTGACAGATAATTAACAGCTTAATCCTTTTGCACTTAAATTTTTCATTTTCCCTCACCTGCAAACAAGAAATCTGGATTAGGTTTCTGTCATTTCTTTCCATTTTTTGTGAACTTGGCTTGCAGATATTTAATTCGGGTGCTTAATCTTCAGGGATTTTTCTTATGCCCGCAATATTGGTTTTTTGACATTCGAGAGGATTAAGGCCGTATAACTACAGATGTTGGGGCCACAAACGTTTCAAAGGTATGCAAGATATGGTCGGAAGGATTCCCAAAACTGCAAACAAAAAAATGATTATCCCTCAAAGTTTGAGGAAGAAGATTCTTGGAAATTAAAGTGCTGAAAAATGTCTCGCGTGAAACTTCAGGATTAGCTTGGTTACTAAATAAGGCTACTTGCTGAAAAACATGACATAGAACACTAAATGAGCCATAAGAAGCTCTTCTTTATATTGATTTAGGTCATTAAAACATAAAATTGTTGTGTAAAAGTAGAAAAGAATAATTTTTTTCCATCTTTATAACAAATGAGTGTATTTTGAGCAGTTTCTTTAGTTTTTGGGTGATCAATATTTTTTATTTAAATTATTTGGTCATTCTAGTGCTCAAATAGGGAGTTTGCCAACTTGTTTAGGGACCCACTCCAAATTTTGTTCTGTCAAAAAATCTGAAAAGAAACGACCTTGTTGTCTGGTTTTCCTACAGTATGACCATCAGTATGGTCAGAGGCATTTTGCTGGGACTCTAGTTCTCCAAGACCTTACACCGCAGATTTCTAATGTATTTATGAGAAGAGAGAGACCGATATCTGTTACTTGTGTCCAAGCCTACCTTGTCGAGAACTTTTGGCAGGTGTGGATTCACGAGGCTCTTTATGTGTTTCGTATTTTATCTGATTGAATGATTTGACTAATGATAAGAAATGATTTCCATTATATTTATTTTGTTGCTAATTCGAGGTTTTAACAGTTAAAACCAAAGTCTACTGCCCTTTTCCGTCCATCCCGCTCATTCAGGGAGAGGGTGGTAAGGGGACGAAAAAAGTGTTTGTTACGTACGTGTGCATTTGGATTCCACTCAAAAGACAGATGGCCTAGATACGCAGAATACGAAACCGTACGGTAGGATGAAGTAAAAATTATGATCCTAAACCCTCAAAACCTCAAGATTTTGAGATAATTGGTAATGTGCCTGCAACATTTCGCAGAAATCGCTCCTCATGGAACTTCCTCTGTCAACGTGGATTGCTCATTGGACCAAGGGTAGAAGGCTGTACTTACATTATTGCCCTCTTTAATCTCACTAATGGTAATATGAACATTTAAGCTTTTCCCCAGCCTCGCTTCACCATTTCTCTATTATTTCCGTAATCACACTCAAGTTTAGATGCAGCGGCTTTCTGAACTATATTTGAAGAACAATTTTTCATGCCATATTCGATTTGACTCATCCACAGCAGCGCGCTCTTCTGGCCCTACTCCACTCTTCCCCCTACTTCTCACCCACTCCTCACCCTACTCCTCAACCTACTCAAACTCCACTCTGAACCCTACTACCCACCAAACTCCAAACCGTGTTCTAAACCCCACTCTTAGGCCTGGTTCAAACGTCGCACTTCTCATGTGCCGAACCTAACTCTGTTTGGAGCTACACTTGAGCATGTTTAGCGCGACTCCCGTTTCAAACGTCGAACTTAATTATGTCGCACCAAATGGGTTTAGGATTGTTACATGAAGTATCTTGGTTAAGGCGCACAATCTCAAATATTTGTTTGAAACGCATGCGCCCTCCAAGAAAGAAATGAATTCTGGGAAGGAAAATAAATTAAATATATTTATGCATTGAGTTCGGTACATGAGAAGTTCGACGCTTGAAACCGTGCCGTGCTGGAGCTGTGCAGCTCGGCAAGCTCTGCCGATCCAAACTAGTTTGCCGCTCCTAACTAAATCTGCCGTACCAAATTGATTCAAACGTCGCGCCCCTCATGCACTTAATTCTCGAGTTAGGTTCGGCACAAGAGAAGCGCGACGTTTGAACCAGGCCTTATCTCCAGACCTCACCCCATCAAAGTTTTTTCTTAAAAATGACTTCATTCATCTAATTGCAGTGGCACTCAGCTTCAAAAATGCCCCTACGGTAGTGGGTTGTCTCACAGAATAGAACATAGGCTGTTCTCGTCTCATTTCTGTAGTTATATGCCCTGAGAAGTTTTTTAGCATCCACCCGGATTCAAATATGTGGTATCATTCTAAAGAGATATTGGTAAGCAGATAATCTAAACATGACAATCAATCTGTTGCGTGTAGAGGTGTTCGGGCATCTGAAGACATTCAAACAGGTTGTTAACAGAGCCAGCGGAAAGGCGCACATGTTTGTCCTCAAGCCATTTCATACCTCATCATCACCAACCTCAATTTTTAATTAATGAATTTCATGATTTCGTGCAGAATGTTGCGTGAGAGATGAGCCTCTTTTGACCTTCAACTTCCTGTTATACTTTTTTGACCTTCACCAACAAAAGAGTTGCAAAAGCCTTTGCACTTGCGTATGTACGTATGAGGATGAAAAGGACCTCACTGGAAGGATATCTCAAGGAATTGAATAGGAACGATTTAGATAGGGGAGGACAGATAGAGGTAGGGGAACCACGGTGCAAGGTGTTCTTGTGTCAAGTCAAGGTACCTGACTCTGCTATTTTGCCCAGTTTCTAGCATTTTGTCCCATTTTGCACCCCCCTCCCCCTGTGCTTGGCAGGATTTGTTTTGTACTTCATCTAAATTTGATGAGAAAAATGCGTGAGGAGGGGTGATTTTTCGGCAAAGTATTCTTGGCAATGTGATGTGATTGAATGATTTTGAAACTGCCTCTGCCTACCCAAAAGTACGTCATTGGCGTTTCCTATAGGTAAAATTGGCGTTCCATGATAGTAAAAGGAAGTTTTCTCACAGTTAAAAGAATGTGGCCTAAAATTTTTGTTTTAGCTGCCATCCTCACTGGTGCTTGCCCATCCGAGCAAAAAACTCAGTGTCCGCCACTGGCTAGAATTATGTCAAGATTCGGTTCTCTCGAAATTTTTTGTCACTGATATCATCAACTAATCATTGCTTGCTCTACCTGATCATATGAATTATTTAAGAACAGTTGAGTTAAAGTTGAATGAAAGCCACGAAACAGATAAGAACACGCAAAAGCTGATCACCCATTCATGGAGAAAAATATCTCAGAAATGTGGCCATCTCGGCAGATTAGAAATAAGCTTGGTGACGCTGTTGCCATAATGCCTCGATACCATAACTTCATCTGGTGACAAACGCCTTTGACATTCTGGCCGTGACATTTAATTCATTGACAAATCCTCTGCGCAATTCAGAATCTGAGCTGCATCTGTTCGCTCACCAACCGCATTCACTTAAATGCTTTGTTACGGAGCTTCATGTTAATTTGCTTTATGTTAAGTCAATTTCCTATGATTTCTGAAAATATAATACCTTCCGCATTTTTTATTAAGCTAGATGTCTAGCTCTCGCATAAGATCACCATGTGCCTAAATTGAGTCCGAATCCAATCAAACTTTAATCTCCGGCAGCTAAAAGGCACCTTGTTCAGTTTTCTTGCAAATTAAAGACTTCGTTTCTCTCTACACTTGCTGTTTTAGCTTTTGTTTGGACAGCTCTTTTTGATATCTATGAGCTGTAAAATCTAGAACTTCTTGGGAAAGCAAACGAGTGTAAGTCGTCACTATCCTTGCAATCGAATGGTTCATCTCCTTCTATTTGCCAGTAAGAATGCGCATTGAACACGATCATTACAGCGCATGCTCGTTGAGTATAATAATCAACGGGGTAGTGTCCCCCAGAACCTTGACCTTACCAACAACCAACGACGCAGCGTCCCCTTGTTGTGTTGGCATTATTAGATCTTCATTGCTTCTTCCTATCTTTGCAAATCTTTTTTTCCCCCAGGCAGTGTCGAATCTCTACATAATGCAATGTTACAAGAGCGTCATTTTGAAAGCTGTGAAAGAGCTTAGTAATGACCTAGCTCTTGTGTAGCCCATGGCATTTTTAGGCATATATCGGCTGGCAAAAGATTATGTTGCCTTTTATGTCATAAGTTATGGTACTGGAAATTTTTCTCGGCATACTTTTGGGGGTATCTACGACCATGAAACTTCTCTTGCGTGAAAACTTTGTAGGTGGTGATGACGTCATCAGATACGTTTTGCTGCAATTGAATTCTTGCATCCACATTACGAAGGCTGATATGTATCAAAACAATGAATTAAGAAAAAATATACGTTTCAACTTTCTTTGTTAATTATGATAGGTTTTTCTTGCTTGTGAGATGTCTGAAATGCAGCGAAATGTGTTTTATGTCTAAAATTGAAGATAAATCTTTTCTTAGAAAGGTCTTATATTATGAATATAATTTTATCTTGTAGGCTATTGCTCATCAGTATTATATTTGGAATATATGCGGAAATTCTACAGACTGATCCTAGCAGCACAACACCCGAGATAGTATGCAAGAGCAAAGTGAACATTTATTTGATAGGCTACATTGTATTGCTGATAATAATCGCAATCATGGATGCATTGATTTCATTCTCCAGCAGCCGAGGCACTGTTTTCGAGCTGCACAAGAGAACAGCGGTTGTGCCTTTGCTGTACGTTCGAGCTGGTTTGTTTATCATCGAACTCACATGGCAAATCCTTGGTTTCGTATGGATATTCAGCAGTAGCGTGAGACACAACTGCTACAGCATGCCAACCAAAACACTCGCACAGGGCGTAGTCATATTCAATCTTTTATTCATGGTTGGTTCTTTGGTTCCAATATACTTCTTCTTTGATTCAGCTGGCCATCTTTGGCAGAAGCTCCATTCGGCGAAGGATAAAGGGTCTGCATACGGGGCGATTAACAAGGAGATACGAGATAAGTACGAGAGGAAATGGGAAAAATCATGCAAAGCCTTGTTCTGCTGTTCAAAGGTTGAAAGTTCCCAAGAAAATGTGTTTGGATTCGTATCGAGGTTAGCAAGACAGACAGACATTTTCTATTTAATCACCATTTCGTTAGTCTTATTTAAAATGGCTTTGAAAAAAGCCCACATTTTGACTCATACTAAAGCTTTTAGTCTGACACTCTTAAGAGCATAAACGTCAGAACATAGATTGAAAACTCTAAGCTAGAAATTATATAAACCCAGTTGTGGATCTAAATAGGCCAATCAGAAACGAGAGCACATGACTGTTGAGGTTGCTCAATCGGTACTGCTTGCCTATTGAAAAGACTTTTACCAACAGAGTCTTTAAAGTGAGAAAGAATTCATTCTGGCTACAAAAAAGCTTTTGTATGACTCAAAACCACAAACAGATTGTTATTCTTATTTTCAAATAATCAAACCAGACTGAAATATGAAATAATTAATGTTTTGAAGTTTATCTGAAAAAACCTAATTACACATGAGAAACGTTCTTCTGTATATTTTGTGCAAAAGATATAAGAATGTGCAATTAAAACGTGGAATCTCAATACTTTAACAGCATAAAGTTGCAACTTGATGTGCAAGTTAAAATTTGAAAGCTTGCAGTAATGGAACTTATCATCATTATATCGAATTATTTATAGAACATACTCATTTTTTAGCATATTAACGATTAAATCATTTTGAGCAACGTCTGCAATAAAAAGTGTACCCAGAAGCCTTTTTTGTTATTCCCTTTAGCTTCAGATCCGACGAATTTCCCTGTTTCATATTCAATGCAGTCACAACAAAAAATGTTTTGCTAGTGCCACTGCTCAATATCTGTGGTATCTAAGTTGGATACTTTGTAACGAAAATTAGGCATATCTCAAAACACATTAAACCCACAATTATTAACAATTCAGCTATCATAAAACTTGTCTTGAATGTCTGTAAACATGTTAGGTCCAAGTTACATGTTTATTGCTTATTCCGTAAAACGATACTGTAGTTTTCAATTTTTTACTCACTCGTAGACTGCTGTCTGAGTACTTTCAAGAGTATTTGGATCTGGTTCCTTCCGATTTTGTTGCTGGCCTTATCTTACTAAGAAGGCATCAAAAGTTCCTAGAATCACAGAGAATTGCCACCTTCCTAGACGAGGGATCTGCTTGCAAAGAAGGTTGTAAAGATGTGAGTTTTAAGTTAATCCATATGAAGTCTGTTCTTTCAGAAAAAATCTATTACACTCTTGTTGATGTACAGATTTTCATGTGAAACATGTTTCCATGCTTCTCTAAAGAGTCAAGTAAAATGTTGATCTGTTCTGCGGACGATTTTTCAGGCATCTTATTGCTTTTGTAGTTGTTTGCCATGACTGTTTTCTGTGCTCTGCTTCTCTGGCAGAGTTGTTGTTGAGCTGAGTTGCAGTTGTTTGAATTTATAACTGTTATTTTCATTTTTCTATTGTAAGCAAGAAATATCTGCGGTGATTTTGGTTTTTAACAATTCCCCTAATGATATGATTTCATTTTCCTTTCATTTTAAAAGGTGGCTGAAGTTATAGTAAAAAGGGGTGAAAAATTTGTCCACCGGCACCAAAAGACGAAGAGTGCAAAAGCCTTCAATTATCAGAACTTGGTAAGAAATTTTCCTTTGAAAGTATCATAGGAAAATATGGTGAGAGCTGCTTTTAAACTTGTAAAGGCATACCCAAATTCCTTTTTTACTTCTAGTCTACCAAACTACCTTTTTATCGTCGCTCTCTTTCTCTCGAATCGCAATATTAAGACTAGTTGCGACCTAAAATTGTCTTTTTTTGTAGTATTGCTCGTAGTCATTGAAACCTGCCAAACAGTTTTTTCATTCCAAGATTTAGCTTACATACCTTACAATGTAATTTATGGTCCACAAAGCGCCGAATTACTTTTGATCTCTTAGATGCTTGTTTGCCTTTCAGAGCGAATCAAAGCTTTTCGAGGACATAACACATTATAGTTCCTATGCATTGGCTGTGTATGGCTGGCCGTTCTATCTCTATGATCGCATTCTCTGCGGAGCCTGTACCCTTTGCTGCAAAGTAAGGTATGCCAGTCTGTTGATATTATAATACTATTAGATGGCTTGGTATCAACAGTTTTTAGTAACGGAATGGTCATTTCAGGGACTTAATGGCTAAGTGGCTGTTGTAATGGTTTTCTTTGTGACGGGCTCAAAGCTCGATTCCCTGCTTGTTCGATGAATTTGTTGAAATCCTTCGTCCACCCAGCAGCAATTGGATGCTTTAGGCCAGGAATGTAAATCAGGCGCGAAGAAGATTGCCCCCATCCTTTTTGCCCTGCCGACTCTTGTAAATTACGCTCTCACTTAGCATACAGTTCTACCTTAACTTTGGTTCTAATAATGCCCATTATAAGTTTTATCGTTCGTGACAAAGGGTTTATTCTCTGCAGATGCTGTGCTAGTTGCTGTGGTCCTTCCAAGAAAGAGTTTACACTCGTCGAAGACAACTGCTGCGAATGCAATATTGAAGCTACTAAGCTCTTCCTCAATGAACATGAGCATGAACTCATCTATGTTAGTTACAAGGATGAGGTTTGTGACGTCACTGTTCTTTCGTTATTCGGTATTTAGACTTGAATAGTCGCAGAGTCTGCAGAGCAAAATAACGAACGAGCAGATTTGTGGCAAAACTAGTCATTAGGGAGTCTTTCTGTTGGCGGTAACCGAACATTATTACTCGCTAAGTTTGATGCAGAGAACATGCATCTGCATCTATGGGACAACAGTTACTTTCTATTGTAATGTTGGCACCGTTGTTTGGTGGCAGAGGTTCTTCATCAAGGCTAAAATATTGATCAATTTTTAAGGGATTTTTATTGAAATTTGTTCGTTATTGCTCAAGTATTCGCTGTTTCGTACTCACTGTATTGGCCGAAGTCTTCATCAGTCAGCTCCAAGCGACTCAAACCATTTAAAACTGATCTAATACTTGAAGCAGACTTGTAAGATATATCTTTAAAAATAACAATTTAATATCATGCTTGAATATAATAACGCTTTTTATTTGGATAAAAGTTATTTGGATCTAATTAAAATGCATGTCTTAGGTATACCAACCGCCGTTTTTCGTTGCTGTTGACCACAAGAAGAGATCTGTTGTCATTTCATGCCGTGGAACACTATCATTGAAGGTACATACGTGAAATTGTTTATTTTGTTTATTGACCTTTATTAAAAAATACAGAAGGCAAAGAAACGAGACGGAAACTCATGAAAAAAGTGATACAGCTTAATCATTAATACTTGAGAGTGTGATTTTCAAAATATCATGAAAAAGTAGAATCATAACACGTGTAACTATGATTAGGCCATTTTGAGCGAATACGAATTCAATTCTACCACCTTTTGTAACAGGATGTTCTCACCGATGTGATGGTTGAAGAAGCAAGAATTCCAGTCGAAAACGCAGAGCCAAATATGATGGGACACAAGGTAGGGCTTCACCCGTTGATAACACCTTTTTCTCATCTTTTTGCCAAGTTAAGCTCTATTAGTTTTTAAAACATTTTTATTTATACCAAAGGGAATGATTGAGTCAGCACAATTCGTTCTGGATATCATCAAAAAGGAAGAACTTCTGGAAAGAGCTTTCAACAGTGATTCAGTAAGATTTCTCTATTTTCTTTATTGCTTTCACTGCATCTTTATCGAGGGGATCACGTTAAAGGTTAAGCTGAGTACGGTAGTGTAATTCCTTTTTTTAAATGACAGCTGTCCTTGGTCATAATCAGTATTAGAATGGGTGGTAAAATTCTTTACTTTCTGCCCTACACCTCTCTAGCGTCGGTAGTCTTCACCCACTGGATTATTACATATTACAAATATTTGATTTGAATTTTATATTCAGAAATTCTATATCAACTCAAAGAGATGTAGGAGAGCTTCTTTGCTGTATGTTATTCCATGTTGAGACCGATAAATACTCTACCTGCACAACCTATAAGACCATTTTGTATTTGATCAAAACTTTATTTAGTTTATTCTTACTGTCAGAGTAAAAATTTTTTGTCACTATTGGCATTGAAGAGCTTTACGCCTTGTATTAGGAAGTGTTTCTCACCCCTCGTTATAAGTCGTCGTATTTACCCAACTCTGGTTCACTGAAAGACTTCTTTGTTCTTTCTATCATACAGTAATCCAATGATTTCAATTAGAAGCTCCATTCGTAGGAATGATTGTTATTCATAACCCAAATTCATCAGATATCTAGCAAGTTTATGCGATAATCCCCTTTTATTAGTCTTTTATACTCATTTTTGTAATAATGACTTCTTCATTGCTACATATGTGATATTTCCCTCATCAATCGCATATTTTGCTAATCAGCGACAAAAAGGTCTTTTAATGAATAATGGAAATTAGGAATAAATACGAAATCAATGTTATGCTCATAATCTCAATAACCATTTTGATATCGATATCGCTTAAATCTTTTTGATATGCAAAGCTTCTTGATTAACAAAGCATCCCAAATAATAACGTTTGAAATAGTGATGGCTCATGAGTATGTCATTGCCAGGTTTGTTTTGTGACTTTCCTTTTGACTGAACTGAATCCCGTCTATCGGATTAGACCCTTCACTTAGAAAGGTTTCTTTGATATTCTAAAAACATTGTCAGATCATCATCAAGTTAATCGCTTTATCACTTAATCGCTTACAAATTACAGCAATCATGCTGATTTCCAAATGTTTTTTGACTGCAAATCTTTCGAAAATATTTCGTATTTTTGATTTTTATCAAATCTTAAAACATATGTCAAGCTTTTTGTATCTTATTCCTTCGTGAGGCAACCGAACTCTTTTTTTAATCATGAGGCAACCGAACTCTTTTTCTAATCATGAGGCAACCGAACTCAAATTTTGTGTTGCAGAACTAGGCATATGGGCCTACAGTGTTTAACTTATAAATAATGTTTATACTTTATTATTGATATATTGAGTTTATTTACGTGTTGATAGTAAAGAGTCTTTTGATAGTAAAGTAAAGGGTCTTGGTAGATGACGTCAATTGTCCACATTTCTTTTCAGAGCCGTGGCAGTCAGTCGTATGACCTGACAATAGTTGGCCATTCGCTTGGAGCCGGAGTAGCCTCCATTTTAGCTTTCCTTTTGAGGCCAAAGTATCCAAAACTCACATGTTTTGCCTACTCAGCTGTTGGAGCAACTTTCAAGTATGTGTCTGTCTGTTGACTGTGTTTTATTTTCAACCACATCTTTGTTCGACTTTACAATTAAAGAAACCCCATTTAATGTATTTCCAAACGCGATAAATTAGAAATTATTAATTGACGCGTCAGTTTACCAAAGTATTTACAGTTTAGAGGATCAAAACAAGTTCAATTCTGATCTAGTCAAGTACTAACCTGTATCTCTGCTTTTTGAAAAACATGAAACTTATTTGTAAAAGTTTTTTTAAAAAAATTACTCTGTGGTATGTAGACCAGGAAACATCAAAGTCCCGACTTCGAGTTTCACGCTCAATGCGGTCATCAGGCAAAAATGAGTTATGCAGCCCAAAACATTTTTTGTGAAATGTTTAGTTGTGTCGTATCTACCTTAAAAAGAAATTATAGCAACACTTGACAGAACAACAGACCTTTCCAAATGGCCATAACGGTAAAAAAATTGAATGATAGGTATCGCTTCCAACTCTTAGAACATGGTTTGATAATTTATTGCTAAATTCCTTTCCCTGTATCTTTTTTTTCATTAAATTCATATTATCCATCTATCGTTTATTTTGCGGTACAGAACTTGATAATTCTCAGAGCATCAAATTTATTCTGACGTTTTATGCTCTGAGGAGTATCAGACGAAAAAGCTTTTAGCCAATATGATATAAATTGTTTGCTTTTTCAAAGCCATTTCTTCCATCTATTATTGTTGGTTTTTTAAAGAATGGTTTTCAAGCTGTTTTTTGTTTATGCCAACATATTGTCCATTTTACGTTTAACTTCGATCAGGCTGTAAATCTTGAGTTTCACATCCTGTAATTTTTATTTAAGCCAGTGTTGCAGATGTCTTGTACTTGTTATAGATTGAAATTTATAAGTATAGAAAATCCCATTTCTGATTTATAGAACCTTTCATAATTTATTTTGTGCTTAGCCGAGTTTGATTGTTTCATTTTTGGTTTATTTACAATTTTCCTGCAGCTACGCGGCTTCAAAGCATGCGCAAGACTTCATATACTCGATTGTGGTTGGAAAGGATGTTATATCAAGGTGAGCGAGAAGTTGAATTGAATAGTAACCTGTAATTAGATATATTAGAAGCTTGTATACCTGATAATCCTTTTTCAGCTGTTACAGATAAAGCCCATGTAAAAATTGTCGTTGGAAGACTGTCGTTGCATGTTTTTATTAATGGTTTTTGTTATTGTCTTCTTGTGGTTTTGATATCGTCCTTTTTAAATCACTCTGTCGATTAACTACCTCATATCTTAAAAAGCGCAAAATTACCCAAAATCGCGAAATATCGGAAGCTTTGAAAATTATGTTCAACAACGGTGTTTTAAAGCGAAACTTTAAAAAATGTTGAAAATTTAGTTTTTAATTCGTCCCTTTGCTACAGATTAAATCTGCACACATTGGACGAGCTGAGATACATGATAATCGAATTGCTGCAAAGAACCAACTTGCCAAAGGTTCGTTTATTTTAAGATTCGAGAACCCTATTTTTCAAATACTGCTTGATGAAGCTTCAGTTCTCATTCTTTGCCTGTTTATATTTCTCTTACGTAGGCTTCGCTTGAAGCTCTTTTTCACCCATGCCATTACGGATTAAGCATTTTATGGAACATCTGTATATAGTAAAACTTAACTACTCATCATTGAAAAGTCTTTTGAAAGACCTGTTTAAAGCACAGTCTTTTATCAGCAATGCCTGGCACCAGTTTTAGTTCATGGTAAATTTCGGCGAAAGTAAGAATCCCCTTGCAATCTGCTTCTTATCGTTCAAACCCTTCTCTTCCTCTCATATGTTCCAGCTTCTTCCCGAAATCTTCGTATCAGTTCTTTTCTTTTTCACTTTCGTCTTGGGAGAATCGAGTATTCAAGAAAGCTGTTTAATGCTTTTCAACCCTATCTTGAGTTTTGGAGCCATAATATCCGGAATTGACATCTCGAAGCCATACCATTTGTGATGGTGTAATTAGAGTTAAACTTAGCTTTACAAATAGATCACGACCATTTAACTGTCTGTTACCAAGTTAAGTTTTTTTAACAAAAACACTTACTTCTAGTGGAAAATCCTCCGTGGATGCATGTGCCAGTGTATGCTGTGTTGCCAGGCAACATCAAAGAATTCTCACGAAGATTACCTTGACCACGAATTCCATGATATCCCGCCTTATGAACCAGAATCATCAAAAAGATATTACATGGGTGGCAAAGTTGTTCACATAGTCAAGACGCATTCAATATATCCCAAGTAAGTATTTTTGTTGTTATTTCGCACGCCTGGCATAAGTTTATGCAAACTTGCTGGAAATTGATTTTTTAGATCAGCACCTATACCTACTTTGTACAAAAATTTAGTTTTCTCTGTTCGTTGAGGATGTTCTTATCAAAATGATGGAATATCTTGTTCAATATCAGGGAAATCCCATTTAGTGTAGATCAGTGGGACTTGGGCTACTAGCTATTGTAAGAGGGTGTCCTCTCGCAGTTGGTCAGTATTATCGTCTGACTCTAGAAAAGCCGTTACCTCTCAACCGTCCAAGGCTGCCCGTTATTTAAAGGCATCGGTTATTGAAAGGTGTCGCTTCTTGGAAAACTTGGTTTGTTATAGGGAATTGTCTAATATTAGAAAGTGCTGTCATTTGGAGGTGGCCGTTTACGGAAGGGTTCGTTATTTAGAGGTGTCCATTATTGGAATGTGTCTGTTACTTGGAATTGTCCGTTACTAGGAGTTGTTCAATATTGGTAGATGCCTGTTATTGGGAATTGTCCGTTACTAGGAGTTGTTCAATATTGGTAGATGTCTGTTATTGGGAATTGTCCGTTACTAGGAATCGTTCGATATTGGTAGATGTCTGTTATTGGGAATTGTCCGTTACTAGGAGTTGTTCAATATTGGTAGATGTCTGTTATTGGGAATTGTCCGTTACTAGGAATCATTCGATATTGGTAGATGTCTGTTATTGGGAATTGTCCGTTACTAGGAGTCGTTCGATATCGGTAGATGCCTGTTATTGGGAATTGTCCGTTACTAGGAGTTGCTCAATATTGGTAGATGTCTGTTACTGGTATGTTTCCGATATTGGGAGTTGTCTGTTATTTGGAGTAGCTTTCGTTATTGGTCAGTATCCGTTATTGGTAGGTATGCGTCATTGGAAGGTACTCGTTAATGGAAGGTTTGAGTTGGATAGTATTTCTATGCACTGGTCAAAGAAGCTGCTAACCTTCTTAGTGAAAACAGCCAGAACAAAGAACTCTGTCCCGTAGAACGCAAAATTACGTAGTCCGTTTCATAACCGCTCACATCTGACGACATGCGTCTTTTGAATCTAACTGTTGATGAATTTTGAACCTGCAGAAGCTTGGCTTCGATCATTTAAAGCTAGCAAAGTGCTCTTTCATAATGACGTTGATTCACATTTTAAACCGCAGTTTGGCTCATTTTTTGTATCTGTCTATTTCTTTCAAATAGATCTATTGGCAAACAGGGCTGTTAATCTACAATATCAAATCAAGAAAATACGATTACAATGAGCATGGATGATCAAATTGTGGAATTTTAATTAAAGTTTTTCATATTTCCGGAATGCAAGATAAATCATTTAAGCAACAAGTCCCTGGCTTTCCAGGTTTTGTTCTTTTTCATGGCACAAAATTGTTTGATTTCATGAATTGTTTAAAGAACAAACTGATGTTTATTTTTAAGGTGGCTCGGGAAGAAGAAGGCCCTGTACGAGGCTGTGTGGGCTGACGTGGAGGATTTCCAGTCCATATTGATTTCAAACCTGATGTGGAAAGATCATATTCCTGACACTGTGAAAGGAGCACTGTCGAGTTGTTTGGGACATGTTGAAGTGCCTCGTAAGAATGGATCTGCGAAGGAATGTGACAAATCTAAAGGTATGGATGGGTTTCGAAATTTCTTTATACCGGTTTTGTGTTATTTATTGTTTGCAATCTGGCATTCATCTCTTTGAAAGTGCTTATATTTTGATTCAAAATGCCACAATGCCTTGCATATTTCAAGAAGTGGTAAGTTCGATAGTTGCCTTATAGTCGCATCAAGAGTGAACCGTGGAGTTGCAACTTAGAACCGTCCAGTTCTAAACACCAAATAGCGTGTACAGCTCTTCCCATACGATATCGAGTACTTCATGACAGACAGTTGGAACAGTACTTTTTATTCTTTATTTATCTTTATATGTTTCAAATGTGATTTCGATAAACGATTGTCATGTTTAAATTTTGATAGGAAATTCAAATGGTGTCTCTAAAGACTCAAAGTCAGATGAAGAAGAACATCTTCTTGGCGAGAATCTGGAAGAAACATCCGCTAAGGATGACGGTGAAGTGAAGATCGATATTGTGGACACAACAACGATAACATTAACTGCAGAAGATGGAAAGCAACAGAGCGAAGAGGTAAGATCGGCTGAAAAAAAAGTGAAAAATGAAGAGGTTGATTCATGTGAAATTTTGATAAATTTAAATGAAGAAGATGCGAAGCATGCTGAAGAAGAACAGCAGTGTAGCGAGGAAAAGGACAAAGTAGAAGAAGATGCAAAACCAGTTGAATATGTGATCAAGACGGCTGGATCAACAGAGATTGTAGACGTGATAGTTGAAGAAACTAAAGTAACCAAAAGTTCTGAGGTGCTTATTGAAGTTCGGGAAGAAACTGTGGAAGAAATTGGAAAACCAAGTACGCCTGTTACCTCAATAGGAGATGGTATTAATGCAGGTGGATCTATGGAGTTTGTTGAAATTGTATTTGAGAAAGAAAGCGATTGTGAAGAGCAGCAGAAGTTGGAAGGAGATTCAAAAGAAAATGAAGATGCTGAAAGAGAAGAAGCAGATGGGAAGCAAAAAGAATCTTGTAATGCAGTTGATCAACATGAAGAGTCAAAATCTGATAAAGAAGAAGGACTGAGTAAATCTGAGTCAATGGGATTTGTAGAAATTGTGCTAGTCCACAATGAAAGCAGCAAAGAAACGGCGGATGAACTTCCAGCTGCGAAGCTGAGTGACAATGAAAAGCAAAAAGATGCTGAAATAAAAGAGAGCGTTGCAAGTATTGAAGTGGCGAGCACTGTTTCTGAAACACAAACAAAGGATGCCAATGATTTGCCAGTAGTCCACAAACACGCAGAGATAGTTGAACAGATACAAGTTGCAGCAAGTTCATTAGAGGAAAGTTTACCAACAGAGATGCCAGCAGCAAATGTGGAAGAAAGCACAGCCACAGTGGTAGATGTGACTATGACAGTTACTAGGGAAGAAGTAGTGGAAGAGACTCCATTGTCCGACGCTGTGTCTGTAGAAGAGAAAAATGCTTGCAAAGAACACAACCACGAGGCACTAGCACAAGAGATTACTGGTGTACCTGAGTCATCAAACCAGGTACCAGCAGATGAGCTGAATGAAATTAATGCCTCTGTAGATTTGTGTGTATCATCGTCTGTAGAGTTAAAGGTATCTGAAGAGGCACCACTGACAATTCAGACAACAACAACAGAGGCGATGCCATCTGATGACTCTTCTCTTGTATCATGCGAGATATCTGCTGCAGAGCAAAACATATCAACAGAGATTGTAATACCTGAAGAAAATGAACCATCTGGCGATTTTTTTGTAGTACCAGATGAAACAAAAATTTCAGAACCATCATCTTCAGAAGAAATTGCAGCACAGGAGAATTTCGAACCAGAGATTTTGGGAGAAACAATAGAGCTAAAATCGTCACAAATAGCTGTGCAAATAGATGAGGCAAATTCGTCAGATATTGTTACGAGCCATAGTGAACCACCAGTGCCAGTGGAACAACTGCCTGAAGTGGAGGTATTACTAGAGGATGCAAAACCACCTGTCGAAGCTTCTGCTGTTTCTACTGAGCCAGCGACCGACTTATTGGTGGAAGTGACTCCGCCATCAGTACAAATAAAGCCATCCTTTGAGGTAGTGGTTGATTCGAATGAATCATCAGCCCAAGAGACTAATATTTTGGAAGAAGGTCAATCGCCAGATGCGATAATACCATCTGACAATCTCAAGGCAAGTGAAGAAACTCCATCATTAGAGAACAGCAAAATTGTCGTTGATGCTACTGCTGTCTCAAGTGAGTCAGAATTATCACTGGAGGTTCAGTCATCAAGTGAGACAAAATCATCGGATGATTGCTCCGTTGTTGTAACACAGTCATTAATCCCTGAGCAAAACTTGCCAGAAGAGGTTCCCCCTCAAGAGGAGATAAAGCAAAGTGATGATGTTCCTGCCCACTCAAGTGAACCATCCAGTAGTGCACTTCCCAACTCAACTTTCCCATCTTCATCAGAGGAAAAATTATCTGATGAGTCTCCTTCATCCGACGGAATAGAGTTACCTGACTCAGGAAAGCATGCTGCCCAAGAGCCAAAAGTATCAGATGAAGTTTTACTTCCTGAGGAAACGCAGCCATTAGTTGATGTGCACAGCAAGCCATGTCCAGAAGAAGAATCATCAAATAAAGCAGCTCCATCAGAGGAACAACCGGCTGCTGACATTTGTAAGGAATCGTTGTCTATTAGTGAAGACGCTACTAATGAAGCTAATCTGGATGTAGATGTTGTTAAAGGTGATTCAGCAGATCTCAATGAATGCGAGGACACTGTTACAGACGACACCGTAAATGGAGCTGCTGATGAAAGTGATTTTGTCATTGTGGAGGAGGTGATAGTGCAGACAGGGAACTCGGAAGTCCATGACGCAAGCCAAAATGTTGCAGTTACTATTACCACGGTAACTGAAGAAGTCGTCATTGAAACTGAGTAGGTCGTTGGCTATTTAGGTGAAGATGGACTTGTTGTTAGTATCGGAACAACAGCATGCGTCAGCACATTTTGTTAAGCAGACCTCGATTCAAAATGGAAAGTGGTAAAAGGAGGCCATGCCATGTCGAATGTATAGAGTATTAAGATGTGGTATGTGCGAAAAGAACGTTTTGCAGGTTTTATCGAAATCGTCGTTTTGGCGCCGCAAAAATGCCAAAGAGAGCAATATGTATTTTTATGAACCCTGTATTTGTAATCTGGATGATTATTAAGTGAAATTATATTGAAATGGTATTTCATATTGAGGTAATATTGTTGTATAAATATTTGGGAAAGAATTGGCTAGACTTTGTTAACGATACTTGCAGTCTAATTTTACCAACTTATATCGAGTCTGGCAAGATATTATGATATAGTGTAGAACTGTCTAAAATTTCCATAGATTCACTAAAACGTTAAAAGCAACAAAACCATTTATCCTTTGCATGTTAAAAAGGGAGTGGCGAAAAACTCCCAACCCTCTCCTCGAAAAATATAGTTGTTTACTGCAAGGCTAATACCGGCTCGTTCAGGCAGTTGCTGAGTCTCGTTGATAGTCTTTGTAATCTTGATAGTGGCCTTTGAAGTATATCTACTAGATGTTTATAGAGCTTTAGTTTATAGTGAAGCTGTACTCCCGACTCGTTATTTATCAAAGTGTATTTTTATAAGCATTTTAATGTTAGCTGCAGACTGGCAACAGAACTTAAATTGCACCTGTTTTCCTTGCATGGAGTCTTCGAAAAAGTCTAGATTTGGCTCAGTTATCATATTTTGTATGGTAAAACTTGAGACGCTTCACTTAGTAACATGTCATGTTACGTCATTAGCAAAATGTCGGGCCCAGTCTTCTTTTTAACCTGCTTTTTAGAGAACAGTGAAGAATTCAGCAGTTTCTGTAAAGTTGTGTATTTTCAGATTTCTTGTATTTTATATTGTAGATTTATATTCACAGTTTCTATGTTGCCAATATTCATGTTCAGTTATTCAAAATAAGTCCGCATAGCGTATTCAATTGAATTTTTATCAAATATTTAATCGTTGTTTAAAACTTTTTATATTGTACTGTAATGTTGCTCCATGTAAATGTTACTGTAATATTGTCCCACGTTGACATTTCTCGAATTTTTCTTCGTGCCAGGGTGCTGTTGCATTTCACCTGCCAATATCCTGCCAGTACGACTATGATGGGACAGGATGTAGTTTGGAAATGTTTTCAGATATACAAGCAGCTAAATTTTTTAACAAAAATTTGGTTACATAATGAAAAGAGAATAAATTTGTTTCAATTTATTGTAACATTTTCCAAGTTGCGATGACAGCATAGGATTTTCCCCCACTCTACCCCGTGGGCATTGTGCCCCTGCGAAAAATGGAATATTTTCTCTTTTAAAACGTCATTTTTGCATTCAGTCGAACTACCTAACTAAATCCAGTTTTACTAATTCCACATAAAACCTAGCAAATTTGAACCTTCTTCGCTGTTTTTGAATGCCAAAGCTGGCAACGAAATCGGATTTGTGTTTTGAATAATACAAAAGTTGCAAAAAGTATCTTTTGGTTATCAGATTTACAGCACAACTCTGGCAATCCTTTTTGAAGAGAAGGCCAAATGCATATTAAGGACTCCATTGTTCACGTCTGTCCCTTTTCGTTTAGATTCAGTTAATTTTGCATTATCAATGAAAAAGCCACAACGAAAGCGGAAAGATAATGAACTATGTAAAAAATTTAAATTTCCTTTTTGGTTACTCCCTCTCATTTCCTTCGTCAAGTTTTAAACAATGTTCGTGGTTAAGTTCAAAAACTCAATGCAATGGTTATCTCAGTTCTAGAATGATTTTCCAGATCAAAGTTGTCTAAATCCGCATTTCAAAAAACAGGTCCCAACTCCCAGTTCTCCTTCAGGACCCACTGTAACAATATTCTCTTGCCAATTATGTCAGTTTAGTTATCAACAGATATCCCCTTTTTTATGGAACGCCTTGTTTGAGAAGTGAACTGGAATAAAATTAAGAACTCATATTACTTTATCTGCGATGTACAAACATAAAAATTTTTGTTCTCTATCGAGGGAATTTCCACGTCGAATGCGAAACTGAAACACTCCGTGCAAACGAGGTTTTCCGTGAGTAACTCGTGAAGGGATCAGATTCAAAATGGTGGCCCCTAAAGATGGTAAGGGTTCCTTAAACCATGGCATCGGACTGTCTCTTGTGGCAACAGCATTCGCACATCCTCTTGCTTATGTAAAAGTGCTTGTTCAGGTATGTTCTAACATTGCGTTGGACTTATTTGACCAAATTTAGTTTGAGCTATGATTGATAAAATTACATGCGAAGCTTATTCACGAGAAAGCTACATTACTGATCTTGTCCAAAGCCTGGAGCTTTCATATGATAAAAGTCCTCTGTCATAAGATTTCTGTTTGCAACGTTTGGCCATTGTTCAGTGGCTTGAAAGAAAGCTTGCTTTGCAATTCCCGCCCCGCTCCTCTTTTTGCTTGTTTGCAATAGTGATAGGTTCTTTCGATAAATCCGTCAATAAATAAAGCAGACCAGACAGATACCTAAGAGAGTGGCTGCTAGAAACAGAAAGCGGATTTATTTACTAGGCCAAATTAGCATATCTATTTACCTTTATACAGTTTTAGAATATTTGCAGCTAAATCCTGACTGGCAATTTCATTTTCTGGTAGAACATCCCTCCAGACAAGTTATTTACATGACAAGATAGCACTTAAGTTTTCTCCAAGAATTCTTGCTGTACCAAAGAAGATTCTACAATTTTGTTCAAGCCTACATTTATCATCTTCAATGCATCTATTATGTTTGAAATATGGAGCTTGCAAGAACCTCATTTGCTGAACAAAGTTAATTGTTTATCTACCCAGCCTGCAAGATGTATCCTCTTGACACAAGAAATGTTTTTCTGAATTAATGTACCATCTAGCAAAAATTTAGGAAGTTATTAATATTTTTGTTTTATTTGCTCCCAAAAGCCTACCTTTAGAATTGAAGATAGTGTTGAAAATTAAAGCAAATTTTCATTTGCATGAAAAAATTGTATATTGTATATTGTAAATTCATTTTTCTTTGCCATGTATACCATTCCAAGCCAATTTTGTTTCCAATAAATTGTTCATCAGTATATTTAGATGTGATGTTTAAAATGTATATCTTCCAAATTGAAATGGTATATTACCCAAGTATTTGGACAAGACACCATAAATTGAGCTTGTGTCACAAACTTTTTTAAAATTTTGATTAGTGTAGTTAGCGTTTTCAACCATATTTAGTAATTTGACATGTCATGAATGCAACAATACTGTTGAGGTCTAGAAAGAACTTTGTTTTTCTATAATACTATAAATTTGCAAGAAGCAGACCTCTATTTTTTAGGACCCTCCTTTGTCTTGTCCAGAACCTTTATTTATTTCTGCCTTTAGAGTACATTTATATGATCATTTCAATTGTTCATACAAGGTGTTATGTATGCAGATTACACACACTAGCATTTCAATTGATGATTTTGAGAATTAGATGGTACATGAAAAAATGCATATTTAATATATAGACTTGTTATCATGAAGCGAATCCATTACCTCATTGGATTTCAAATAAACATTTGATTATTGACAAAATTTTAGAAACTTGAAACTGTAAAATTTGCTTAATCCAAACTTGATTTTTCAAGGTTGGTTATGAACCCCTTCCACCAAAGAAAGGAAAGACATTTTTCGGAAAAGATGTTCTCCATCTACCTGGATTCTTTGATTATGGTCAGTAAACAGTTCCAGTTAGTTTAATTGTGTTTTTTAGTATCACTTTATTAGAATCAAAGAAAATACTTTAATTTCAAAAGATGAGGCTTATTTCAATCACAATTTATTTTGGACCAGCTTTGCATCTTTATTCAGTTTTGTTTATTTTTATTAGTTCCTACCATATAACAACGGTTTGATAATCAATCTAGTCTAGCGTTTTTGTACATCAAATGAATAATTAATAAGATGATGAGTTATGCATGAAACATCACAAAAATGACTTGGTTTTAATCAATAGTTTTATCAGCAAATCATTTTTATTAAGAAGGCTATGTCACAGAGGCACAAGCCTATTGAATATCAAGATATTCTCCTTTTGGGTTGCAATTTTGAACAGACAGGAATAATTGTGTTAACAAATCTATGAATAGTATATAACTGAAAAATAGTAAGTATTTTGAGAAGTAATTGTCATATTTTCTCAGCCAAACAGTGAAGTTATTAGAAAGGAAAGAAATTTTTCAGTTGAAATTTAATTCCCAGCTTTTTCAAGCTGTATTAACACCCTCAGCACAAGGCTTTAATGATGTGAAATCAAGGATAGAGATGAGCAATCAACAATGTTTAGTTTCCAATTGATTTTATTAAAAAAGCAATGCCAACCTGAAAATCACATGTCACAGTTTCCTTATTGGTTGCTTCTTCTGGACTAAGTTGATTACAGAAATGTTTTCTTTCCTTACAGCAAGGTACATAAAAAATGATGATGGATTTTCAGGACTTTATAGAGGTTTAGTTCCAAGGTTTGTTACTCTTATATATACTGTTCTCATAAGCTATTGATCAGAGGTGAATAATCAATTTTGAAACCTAATGATATAAAGCTTTACTTTGAGAATTTGTGGCTGTCTATTGGCCAGATTACTGGTAGATGTTTAACCTTGAATGTGGCCTGAATGTCTGAAATTCAAAAGAATAGGCAAGAGAGATTCTCAGATGAAAATCTATTAATTTTCATACATCAAAAAGCTGTTACCCCCTTAGAATAGTTTTTCCTTATGTTGGTAGTTTGCTCTTTTCATCCTCATTAATTTTTGCTCAAGTCAGATTCCAAATTGCTTCAATTAGCGTCAAACTGCCTTTTTTCAAAGCAAATAATCTTTTCAATATTGTTAGTACTGCAATTTCTTCCATTTTATTTTCAGGCTTTAACAGTAGTTCTATCATTCCCTTTCATTTATGATGGCATATTTAGATTGAGCATATGTTTTGATAATGGACAGTACAGCTCTGTTTTTGTATTACTCACATATTCAAATAGGTTTACATCTGATCTTTCCTGACAGCTTGCCATTTTCAGTCTTATTGTTGTGAGTTGTGCTGACCAAGAAAATATGCACAGTTTCACAAATGTTTGTTTTGCTCCATTTTCATTTTGGCCCATGCTAGATATTCAGATTGCTCCTCTTAACAAGTTGATAAAACCTTTTTCCCCTGTATTTATTGTTCTTTTTTATTCATTTTACACATAGAAAAATATTTTTTTGATCCATTTTCACTTTTTCTCCATCGTCACAATGGGTTTTCAAACATATGTATTTCAATGCAATGTAATTTTAATGTAATTGCTAGAATTGTTGACTGTTTTTTGTATTTAAAGATTAAACTTCCAAGGAGAGAACTCGGTTGCATATAGACTTGTAGGTGGTTGGTTTATAGTATGCCATCTGAACATTTGGAGGGTAGACAGCCATGGTAGATTGCCCATCTTTGCTTTTTAGATTACTATATTTAGGCTAGTTTATGCAGTTTGCCAAACAAATAAAGTCTACCCCAATCCTTTCAGTTTTCTATATGTTCATCTCTTTTGTGTTTGTAAGTAAATAAATGAAGGCATACCAGCCAACAAATTGCAGCATTACATCTGATGTTTCTTATTTACATCTTAATTGTCATTTACAGGGTTCTGCACAACTTTGTCAGTTCATCTGTCACAAATGCGGTCTGTTCAGTGAGTATGCTTTTGTCTTGTTCGATAATTGACTACCTTCAACATTGGCTGAAATTACTTTGGTTTGTTTGCTTTTTAGAACCCAGAATCATTTTCCTACCATATATTATCATTCCTTAAGGCAAAAAATTTACTTATGATAAAGTCTGTTGTTGTGCAGCTTTTTTTTCCAGTCTTCCAAAAACTCTGTTATTCCAAGAAAATTCCCAGCCCAGTAAACAAACAACATACAACTGCCAGTTTTTTCTCCAGCTTCAAATTTATAGTATATCTACCTCTAAGTTCATAGATGAAAATCATAGATGAGATACTACAGAACATGGCACTTTTTGCATAGACTTATCCATAATCTTAAAATCAGTATATCTTATGCTCTTTTTGTATTTAATATAGAGAGTTAGCTATTGCCAGTTGCTATCTTTGTTAAGATAGAGAGCTATTATTGCCATTTAATATAGAGAGCTATTATTGCCAGTTAATATAGAGAGCTATTATTGTTAGTTAATATAGAGAGCTATTATTGCCAGTTAATATAGAGAGCTATTATTGCCAGTTGCTATTATTGTTGCTATCAAAGTACATGTTGTATACACATTTACATGTTATTCAATCATTCCTAACTTCTTTATTGCAGAGATTTCAGAGTGCTGAGGAGCAATCGTCTGATTCAGAAGAGACTGACGAAGAGTACGAAGTAAGCAGTCTGTTTATCTTCATGTTTGTGTTATCCTGAAACCCTACTGAATTTAAGCTAAACTTTTAAAAAAGGCAGTTATTTTGCACTGTTTTAAGTTATTCATACCCAAAGTGTTTTATTATTACGTAATACCTCTAAACTGACAGCAAATAATATTTTATTCAGCTGCTGGCTCAAATATTAGTATTTAGTATTAATAATTAATAGTTTAAACTGTTATTGAGAGTTTTTGTATCAATACTGAGTTGGATTAAACTAGTTTGTGTGAGGTATAACTGTTAGCTCTTTCTTCCTACAGTTTTTTTCCTGAGTTAGCTTGTGTTTATTGTGATTTCTTTTGCTATGAACAAAGATTACAATTCAGTGAATTTTCTGGCAAGTGGAGCCAAATACTTCTTTCCCTGATTATCTTATTTAGACCTTCTTTTGATAATGAACAATTTTCCTTAAGCCACCAGCAATAAAGACCCAGTCAGAGTTTTTAATCGAGGTATGAGATGTTGCCTTTCCTTTTTAGTAACATACATATCCTCAAGATTATTTTCTTAAAGACACTTGTTTTGTCAAAGCATACAGAAAATGTACTTATAAACTGATTCCAACTTCTTTAAAGAAACTTTTAGAATGCTAGATAATCTACTATCTTCAAACTTATAACATTTGTTGATCACTGTAGATTTCTTCGCTTAAGTTGAAATTACCCGTTAATGAATATCGGAAACATATAAAGGAATATGAGACAACTCCCTCCATTCTCTCCCTACCTCCAATTAAAAATATTTCGAAGACTCGAAATTTCTTCGATAATTTTCTCCTTAGACACTTCAACTTTCGATTGGAAAAGCAGCTGGAGTTGTTATCAGCTACCCACTTCACTGTGAGTGACTATTCCTTTAATCAGTATTTTGATAAAGTCGGCAAATGGGCACATGGTGACGCTGTTTTAAGGACAAAATTTGGCTGCCAAGTTTTATTTGAGATGTGCTATTCCCCAAACAATGAACATATGAGCTTCTCGCAATGTAATAAGTTTTAGTAACTCAGTGTTGCCTTCCAGCAGTATGTTTTATGTTTAAATCTCAGAGACTACAAAATGATCCCAATGGATCATCAATACTCAATTTTTTTGAAAACAGAATTTTGTTTGTTCTGAGTTAGTTTTAAGAGCAAAAACTCTTAGTAATGGAATTCCAAATATTTGTACTGCACAATGCTCTTTGGATATTGTTTGGGGTATGCATTGGTGATACCGGAAAGGAAAAAAATTGCCCAATACCATTTAAAGAAAAGCCACGCAGGATGTGCTTTTATTTTCCATCTGTTGTATTTGTGAATAGAAAATGATATTTACTATTCATATGTCAGAGATATTGTGGGATTGATATTTTCAAGTAATTTGGAGAGCCTTTATCACTCACGTTGGCTCTTCTTGCTTTTCGAGAACCTTCTCGCCATGCCTTGAAGATAAGAGCCTGAATTTTGGGTGGTACACCAAGCAGTTTATAACAGTTTATCTAACCATTTTTATTTAAAGTTTGGCATCAGTAATTTTTGACTGAAGCTGTACCGAATTTTTCAATTTGAGATCTGGATATGTTTACCGGTATGTTGAAATCATGTTGATCACCGTCTTGTTGAAATCCAAACACTTGTCTTCAAAGGCTTGTTCAACAGAATTACCAACCCAGCTGTTAATAAAACTGGTTGTAAGGAAATTTTGGTGGCAAAAATGCAACGAAATTTAAGGAAACTGGCAACAAGCTCGAAGCCTATTTGTTCTATACAATCCGGGAAGGGGCAACTCACTGTTCTGAATAACATACAAAATTTTTCTACCGAAAATTTTTATATGGATTTATATGAATTTTCAGATACGATCTCCATCAAAGTTGCACGAGATTTCGAAGGAGTTATTAACCTCTCGCAAACAACAATGTGTGGGACACAAAATTTTTTTACTGATAATCCTCACGTGTCCACTAAAACATTCCTTCGTTATTCTATTTAATTTTTTCTTTTAGTGATTAGCGTTCGAACGATGGTTCAGTTTGTTGGAAAAGAAACTCAATACAAGTGACCCACAATTGTCTCTTTTTGATGCTCTTAGATAACTGATTACTCTTGATTTTATGACTGATTGGATAACTGATTACCCTTGATTACCCTTCTGAATGATTTCATAACATCTAGGAACAGATATCGAAAAGATTCAGCTTTAAAAATTCTACTGTGATAATACCTTGAGTTTTGCCGTATAGTTCTCAAATGGACGATCTTTTTTACCTTCTCTTTGTCCTCTTTCTTTTTGTAAGTTTTGCTAAACAACGTTGTTGCATGCTTTTGCCACGTTTTAAGCACGCCTTTTTTCTTATGTCATCCATCGTGTGTATTTTAATCAAAAAGCTTCATTCAACATTGATTTTTCCTGTTTTTCAGTAACTTATTTAGCTCTGTTCGTGAAATTTATCAAGAAGAAGGAATCGGTGGCTTCTTTAGGTAAAAACTTTATCCTTTATAACGCGCATGGTATTTCATTCATTTTGTATAACTTCACAGAACTACCCCCTCCCCCTCTTTTGTCTAAGTTCTTTCACCAGCTGTACCATACTGTGCTAACGGACTGAAGGTTGCCATTTTTATGTTTTGGTACATAGCAATGACGAGGTATTAAGTACATAGATACATAGGTATTAAGCTTATCGTCCTGCAGTGCCTGTTTTATCGAGTCTGATTTCTTTTTTAACTCTCATGCTGTGAAGAAACAGATTTTTGGAATGTTCGCAGTCAAAAATACTGTTTGACATAGCCGATGGTGATCATAAATCTTAATTTGCTTTAAACATTTGCAAATTTCGGTAAGCTGCTAGCTCTATGAATTGAGAATTTTTGTGTATAGCTCATTGTAAAAGTCTAATTTAGTGATATTTGCTTACAGTGAACTCTGGGAATTAGAATCGTTTTGAAATTTCTTCAACTAATTTTTAGCGGTCTTGTACCACAACTATTAGGAGAAATGCTTTCCTTTTGGGTCTTCCGAACGCTGACGTACTTCATCGAGACCTATTTTGGTATTGACGAGGTAGGCCTGTTTTGATAACCCAATATTTTCAAGGAATTTTCATATTTCCTCTCTTTAATACCTGGTAACTTGTTTTAATATTGAAATTCACTATGTGTTGGATAACAATATTTACACTGAGTAACGGGTTAAGCCTTTGTTTTGGTATACGGTAAACCTTTATTGTTGACGGAATTTTTATTTTCACTTAAGGCGTTGAATTAAAATCTAACGGTTGCTATAGTGCAGCTGTGAGTCAGTAGCAGTCAATATACCGCTATGATTCCGCAGCATTTTTTGAATTTTCTTTAACAAATAAATCTTAGTCGTAGGTAACAAGGACCGTAGGAACGTGTTAAAAAGTGGGAGCGTGGCACAACGCCGTATCGTATTCTATTAAAGGTGGTTTTGAAAAGAAAACATTTCAAACATTCTTTTCTTATGACACTCTCGACGTATAGAACGTCAGAATAATTATCGGGAATTGTGTACCAAAATGTTTTTTATTAAAGGTACATACCAAAAAGATGTCGTTTACCTAAATGAGCAAAAATTTGTTGCTGTAAAAATGTGGTAGTGTCACGTATCCCCCGGTACCCGCTCTTGCACCTTTGAGCTGTTCACAGTAAATCGTTTTCTACAAATGCTGTAATAGAGTTTGTTGATATTGCGTTCCAACCTTTTATTGATCACATTTCCTTAAGCCCATTCCTTAACACAAAGTTTTGAAGTCCTTCCCGTAGAATTTGATTAGTATTTTCAGCAGACAAATTATGAACTTTTTCCGAGTTTGCCGTTTGGTTAATAGACTGTGGAGATTTTATTTTTGAATTTTGCAACCACTTCCAAAATAGAATGTTGGTTTAAAAAGATGGAACTATTTTCTTGAATTCCTGTTTACTTTTCGTTGCTTTTTTGGAACAGTATCTTGATCATAAAGCTACTATGGTCGTCTCGGGCTGCACCACCAGAAATTACCCTCTCAGCCGATGAAAATATTGCCATATTTTTCCGTGTGAAATTTTTCAACATTTCATAAAATACCATGAAAGCTTTTTCCCTAAATTTACTAGATTCAGGTGAAGATTGTCATAGTTTCCAATAAATCTTTATCTATAAGCACAGAATGTTTAATTTCGTGTACAAAGCACGCGAGTTCTCTCGGCTCGGTCAGAGTTTTGCATAATTCTGATGCCAGTTTCTCACTTGACTCATGGTAATTTCATTGAAATTGCCAGATAACGGATATTGGAAGCTAGCCGCCTCATTCACAGAATAAAAATGACTATTCTGTGCTTCAATATCAACCTGATTGTTTCTTTTCGTGGCCGCTATCCTTCATGCTTCCCTTGTCTCTGTATCCCTTGACAATAAATTCAATAACTGAAATAAACGAAGCCGCCCTAAACCAGAGACCACCCTGCAATTTACTCCCTTGCCCAATGTGGATGATATATTTTTACTGAAATAATGATCGAACCTTAGCCCTTATCAATACTGAAAAAATGTTCGAACTTACGATTCAAATTACTATCTTTTCAATACAACGATGCTATATCGTGTAAATGAAGATTGATTTCGAAAGGCTATGCAAGATTGTAGCCTTAACAGTAATTTTGACGTGCCTAATAATTATAAAAATATATTGATTACCCTACATTTTATACTTTGCAGCATCAAGTCTAGAAAAATTATTTTTTTACGAATAATGAAGGTGTCAGTGAATATGAATAATTGAAGTGTTTACTCTTTTTTTTTAGTTTTCGCGATCTCCAAGTGGTAGACTTTATATTCAAGGATTATCACAGGTTTAGTATACATCTGGTTTTGATTGCGTCATGAATCCGTGTTTATCAAAAAAACTGTTTTCTTTTTATTCATGAATTTTGAAAATTTGAAACCGGACTACATTTTTCCGGAAACTGGCCTACCCAAGTGGCAGAATGAATATTTGATTTTTTAAACAATCTGTCCTCTCCACCACCTTCTAATATGGCACCATTCCCAAATAATCCTTGAGAAATACGATCGTCTGATATCTTTTCTTGTGCAAATCACGTGGTAGTTCCACGGGATTCGAAAGATTGGCTCTATTCGTTTAGCTTTCTCTTTTTCTTACAAGCATATCTCAATAGCTTATGTAAACTTTGAAATTTTTATCGATGCAAACTCAATTACAAAAATCCAAGGTGATTTTAATATTCTCCCTGAAACATCAACAACTGTTCACCAAACACTCCCTTGAATGGTTCTCAGGCAGTTCTCTTCCTCATTTTTATTCCCACAAAAAGCAAAATACATAAGCAAAATGATAAAACCTGAAACCTGTTATTTCAAGTCTGACAAACAAAATTGACTCAGTTCCAGATTGGCTGACAATTTTGCTGATGGAAAACTTTAAAAGCTAATTGAAACTCAACCATGTTTGACATTCAATTATCAAAACAAACTTTAGTTGTAATACAAAAGACTGTTTTAATAAACTTGACACGCTGCAGACCTTTTGATGGCACATATAAACGAAAAATTGTCTTCCTTGTTCATACCCAGATATCAGTTGGTTCAGCTAGCTAGAAAATTCCCCTGACTTGTTTTTTTATGACAGGGGATTGCCATTTTTAACCAATGGGGTTTTGTGATATCTGAGTTGTCGTCAAAACAAAACAAAACTATATTAAATCTGCGTAAAGTAGAACCCTAGGTTTTACACTAGGTTCTTATCTAAAGATTGTTTTCATGATGAGTGTCATCAGATATGCTCTGCAATAAGGCGGTCTCATCGTGACAACATATGGTCCAGGGAGAATGCTCTCAAAAGAATCTTAATGTTCCTTTATGTTTACAAGATGCTTCAGCGTCAAAGGACGGTCTGCAAATTTTGAAATTCGAAATGGTTATGCATGGTCTTCATCCCTACCAACTCGTCGATTTTCTTCAGTCTTTTTGTAAACATAGTCACGTGTTGATCGTCATTCAGTGGTCTATAAGAACAGCTTTAAGTTTTCGTCAGGTCCTTAGGCAATTGTTTTGATCTTCCATTGTAGACTGACATATGTCTGACATGTTGTCTATCATAAATAGATATTGTTGCTTTAGCATTCAATCTAAAACTAAGCTCCTACTCTCCGTCTCATGGATGTATCTTTTCCTTCAAGTATGTCGCATCGCTGCTGACGTTCCCCTTCTTTCTTGTCACAAACATGATGGCTGTAAACAATTCGAGGTTTGCCACATTTGTTCTTTAATAGTTTATATGAACTAATTGGCTGATTTCATTTTCTAGATATAGTTACTTGTAGAAGTTTGGTGAAAATATTGATAGAAAACAAGAAAGAGCCCGGCTTTTTTAAAAGAGGGTTTCCCAAGGAAACCAATTAAGAATAAAAAATAGCTTGATCAAATTAGATTTATCTTCACATCCAAGGCTCCTGTGGTGTTACTTTTCCTGGGCGTACTTTCTCAAGCATGAATGCTACTTGTTTAGATAGTACTTGTGGATCGAATTCGGCTAAAGTTACTTGCGCTTGTTCTGATCTGCTTATTCTTTTTAAACTCCCATGTGCATGCCAAGAAATGTCTAGCTCACTTTTTTACCCTGTTCTTTATGCCTTGTAATGAATTGTTAGGACTATTTTTAGGGAAGTTTTATTGTTTTACTAAACAACATGATAGAGTAGAGTGACTATTTTCTTGTTTCGCTGCCTAAGTGTTGCCACCAAATACCCATTTTCTGGGTGAACTGAGGCGAATGACCAATAGATATAGACCCACATCTTTACCCATGCCATCAAGCACTCTAACCCCCTTTTTGCTGAATCTACAGTAACCTTTAGCCGTAATCTACAGACTAGCTGCTGGCAACCCTCCAAACATGCCAATTTTCAACAACTGGATCGACTGCTGGGTATATCTATCGAAAGAGGTAAATCGATATTTTGTATCTGATTTTTTAACTGTTAATGGACAATGAAACTCGACCAGATAGAGTTAGTTCCTGTCGTCATCCAAAAATGGTTTTAATCTAAATCAAACTTTTGAAACATATCTATTCAAGTTACGTTGTTTGGCAGAACTAGGATAAATATTGCCAACCTGCCGATGATTGCCTTGTATTGATAGTTAATTTCAATCATAGGCTTGAATTCGACTCTATTTTAACTCAATGACACAACTCTACTTCAAAGTTTTGTCTTATAGGCATAGATAAAAATTCCACTGTCTTTATTGACAGTAATGGTTTTTTCTTCAACTTATTTTCCCTTCCTTTAAATTTTCCTTTCCTCTCTCTCAATTTTTCTTCTTGTCTTCCTCCTTCTTCTTCTTGCTCTTATCCTCTTTTCCTTACCCTTTTTCGTTTTCCTTTTTCTTCTTCATCTTCTCCTTCTTTTTTGTCATGCTTTACTTTCCTTTTTCTTCTTCTTCCAGTTCTTCTATTAACCAAAAGTCGACTATGCAAACCCACTTTTCACATCCATCTAAGCTCCCTTCCCGTGCTGTTACCCTGATCATCTCCTTGCATGTTGTCTGTACCCATCCTGTTTCTTCTCTGTATCCTACACTCCCAACCTTTACTACCCGTGACTAATTAACTTAACTTCTAGATTATAACTTGAAATAACACTAGCAAGCCAGCTAGCGCAATTGTCACATTTCTTCGCAGAAACTGCTTCGCAGAGGTGACAGCATTATTCGAAGGACGATGCCCATTAGGCCTAATGCTGCGTTACAGTTAGCGATTGCCAAATGAAGAAATTGACTAAGAATGTTATGTAAGTCGAGATGCTATGAATCATGAAGCAAAGTGAGCCCTGTTTAAACACCGTATTATCGTTCATACTGCATACTGCAAAGCGATTCATTACCTTGAATAGAGGATATGCTAATTTCCTCCTATCTATTATGGTAGCCAGAATTGTAATAGATGATTTTGATGTATGTGATTTTTATGAAGATACCCCTAACATGATTATGTTTATGATTCATTCCTTTTGAAAGCTGAAAATTTATGACATCGTAGTTGAACAAACAAGGAACGCTTTCGTCAACTTTCTTAACCTTGGGAGTGTTGTGATCATTCTCTTCTGAAAACAAAGATTGACATTGCTTTCAGATGTTCATTTTATGTTTCCACTCAATCTAGTCTTTATTATCTGCATCTCAGTGCTAATTTTTTACCTTTTTTTATACCGTTTGCATGGAACTTCACTTTTCGCCCGCGTTTTTTAATACAAAACACGTGACTTGTATTTGATTGAGTAGGCAGGTTTTTGATTGGACTGCTCCAAAAACTGCTCCAAAAACTTGAACAAAACGATGGATATATTTCTTTGCATGGAAGAAAGTTGCCCATGTAGCTCACGTGAGTTGAGAACGAGTTAATAAAACTTAAATTTCATGATACACAAATGAAACTGTTGACATTCCACCCTTTCTTTTCTCATTTATCTTTAATCAGTAAAATGAAACGGTACGAAAATAGAAGCCTTCAGTTTTGAGAGTTCCGTGCATTGCTGTTTCTTCCGATGACAATTAATCTCAATAAATTGAGCTGTTTTCCACCTGAAATAAATTTGTATCTATATATTGCATCTCGCAGCCTTAAAGACCATTCTCTTTAAAAATACGAATTCCTCGCTTTCATATCCAACTGTTCATGAAGGAGGCTCGCATGCATCACCTGTACTTGAATGCTCCATGTTTCTTTTTCGTTGTTAAGTTGTATGAACCATAAAAGATTAATAATAATAATGATAATAATAATAATAATAATAAACATTTTTAGAGCGCAAATACAAATAAAAAATTATCTATCTATGGCGCTTTACAATGATAAAAGTTTATAACTAGATTTAGATAATTAATAAGAAGTCCTTTACTTGTAAAAAATCTTAAAACGGCTAAAATGAATGTTTATGCAATGAAGTCCGTTTGACTAAAAGCAATTTTAAAGAAATGCTTACAAAGCAAGGCTAAATTTTTATCGACATTTTAATCTTAATCTATAGTCTTCTGAGCAAGCAAGATAATTGTGACTTTGTTGTAAAATGTTTCGTGGACCAATTCATCAAACTTGTGTTGTATTTGTATGTTCCATTACCTAAGATGTTTTTGTCATGAAGAGACACTAGCAACGATTTAAACTTTCTTCTTTTGATTTAAGAAGTATTTAGGTTCAGAATCAAAACAAATTTCAAGAATATTGAGGTTCATGGCAAGCTTACATCTCATGTGATGAGAATCTTCGTATTACCAAACTTTAGACAGCATTACTCTGATGTGGAGCATCACAGGACAGACATAAAGAGCCAGAAACTGTCAATCATTGCTGTTATCCAACACTTTTGTTTTCCACTATTCGTTTTGTTTTGTTACTTGTGATGATTATTTGCAGACGGTAAACGTTAATTCAAATTGTTAATGTTTGTCTCCTTTTTGGACAGTGTCAAACATATCCTGACACAAAATTCAAACAGAGAACATTGTCTTTCCGTTATAAATATTGACATCAAATACACCATGATTGTTTAAGGTCGCATAGAAATATTACTAATAGCGTTTGCAGATGTCTCTAAAAGACAGGATTGTAGCTCGATTCAGTTACACTAGTTGAAGCAGTTTGGAGCAGGAGTGGTGGATCGTCAGAGGAATTAAGTCTTACTTCCGTGTAAGTGCTTGATTTCTTATTTCTTCAGTGTTCTTTATAATATTATTAGTAAAGACGCGATTTCTCAAGGTACAAAGTTGATCCTGCCGAGAACTTGGGGGGACACGTCCCCCAGTCCCCCCCTGTGGCGCCGCTACTGGCTACAGGTACAATTTTTTTAGGGGTTCGCTACAACCGAATGGCAAATCCTTCTATGGAAATCTCGTACATCTTTGGTGGGAATTTTTTACCTGAAAATCCCTGGAAATCTTTTTGTTTTTGTGAAAAAACGTACGCTTTGCGCAAGAGTGAATTGCCCCTCGGCTTCAAACCCCAAAAACCAGAAATCTCCAAATAACAGACAAACTAATTTGTCCTTGATTCATATTTTCTTCCTGCGATCGAAGCTCTAACCACCACCAAGCAAGGAAAATGGCTGACCCGATGACACTCTCGATGAGGTTTTGAATTTTTTTAGGGCTTTTGATTTTAAAACACATAATCCGAAAAAATAATAAAAATTTCTTTCTATAAATTATAAAATAACAAAATTTCAAAAATTTTCTAAAAATTTGCTGAAAATTGCTACATTAACACAGGCAATGTGGAGCAGGGGTGGGGATTGGGTCGGGCTCGGGAGACTATCCCCCAACTGTTTGCCAAAGCCTCTTTTTGTTCGGTTTTAAACCTTCAAGGGGTTTAAGGGGTTGGGGAGTAGCAGTATTGCGTGAGTCTGCTGGGTTCTTTTTTATATCTCTACACCACTCCGAAAAACCCATTTGTAGTTGAATTTTGGTAAAAAAGATGAACATTTTCAGATTTCAATGTTGTCTCTTCTGAAGCGGCAGTTGTTTATTGGTATGGGCGACTAGTGATATGGCTGAAAGCTGTACGCTTTTGTAGGTCCGCAGTGAGGGTAATTTGTTTACACGGAAACCCGACTGATGACAGGACTCGAATCAACGAAACAACCTGCTTTGTGTGCGCGAGCTGTCATTGACAAGGGTATTGAATTTGTCGTATATGTAAACAAATGCACGAAGCTCGCACACAAACGAATAAATTGGATTTGTAAATGAACACTTCGTTATCTGCCTCTTTATCACGAATCTTTTTATTTAAAGGAAATTGGATAGAACAAATCAAGGCCATTGAGCCATTGTGCGCAGATCATGCCTTCTCCAAGTATTCATGATATTTTCAAAAGTCCGTCATCAGATCGACTGTTGGAACGCAAAAAGCATTCTGGAAATCTCGAGTCAACGATTTCTTCTGTCCGACGCAAACTGGTGAGTTTGACTTCGATAAACTACAATTTTACAAGCACTTAACAAGACTCAGGTCCCTTTGTTAAGTCCCTCTAGTTGCATTTTGTATCAATATTTCAGTTACTTATTACTGGAAGGTTCACGTTTTTGCAAGGAATTTTTCCACCAAGGCCTGGAACTCGAAGGCTCCAAACTGGAATTGATGATTTGTTTATGGTAAGTATAGTACTCTCGTTTCCAACCTGAGGAACGGCTTTACCTTCCACAAAAGAACACGGGAAATGATAAATGGATGGAATCTTTTTGGCCTCGTTAAAATTGCAGACTATGGTAAAACAAGTTTTCCACACTGTGTTTAAAATGAAAGTTTAATCAAGGTATTTGCAAGTCATTTATCTTGGTGTTATTTCTCACAAAATGCTTCTCATCAGTTTACTGTGGTGAGAAAAGGGTTTCATCGGGAAGATATAAAATGAAGGTTTATTTTTGGAGAAAATTCATTGTTGCTTTTTGTTTCATATTGATAGAACGCACCCCAAAAGCACCCAGACTTGCCTTTGCTTTCTACCCCTACTGAGATCTCTCTTGCTTCCCTGCTGTGTACAGTCTATGTACAAATCTGAAAGTAATTTTCAAGATACTTGGTTTTGCACGATACTTGCATGGCCCACCCTCACCTCCCCCCTCTCCCAAACGGTTTTCCGTTTATACGTTGTTTCTAATAAGAGTTGTTGAGACACAGTTAAGGTCGATATAATTTCTTTGCTTGTCCTTAACCAGCAGGTTGCCCTGGAGCTGACTGCTCAAACGATAAAACTTGCATAGCACTATAATTGACCTTAATAGGCCTCCTGTCTTTTGGCGTTTATTGTCATTTTTATTCAAAGAATAATTTCTTAGAAAGAGTCAACGAGTCAAATGCCTCAAAACCATGTATCTTAGAGTTTTGAATTATGTGGGACGATCGATGAAATCTCTGGAACATTTCATTGTTAGAATTGCAAGAGCCCTCAGTTTTATTGAACAGCATTTTCCTTATCAAGCCTCAATTTTTTTCGTTTTAATCCAAGAATGCAACCATCATTAAGCAACTTAGATAATAATAAAATCCCGGACAAACATAGTTGAGACTTTTCAAGAAAAGTTGATTTTTTTTCTTTTTCCTTTCAAAAACAACCCCCTCCCCTGCTCTCCATTCAATGTTAAACGCATGTTTTTGAAGCACATATGAAAGAACTACTAATCTAACATTTATTCGGAGGAAAGGGGGGATTCGAATTTACAGGGGCAACGTAAGGTGAAAAGTTGCGAAATCTAATTTCGTCTCTACAATTTTCTCCGAGATTGTAGGCACAGTGGTAGCCAGAATCTTTGTACATGGAAACGAGGTTGTGTTTCCTTTTTTGAAACATACTCCATCGGTTCAAATGTTTTGAGAAAACCAACGGTCGCATCTGGCTGTGGGGGTGTGACACCCACTTAGCTTTTTGTAATGATTGATAAAATCGTTAGCTTGTCAGTATGATCGCATGAAAAAGGTATAATCCACCCCCATTCATAATTTGATGATGGCTGTTTTGCTGATTTAACGACAGTTTTATCCAGCGTTGCTCAGGGCCTCCGACGAAGGGGGGCCAGGGGGCTATGCATCCCCACTTTTTGCTAAACAATAGAGCTTTTATCAATATCTTTTGTTATGGGTTTTAAATTTTCACTTGCTTACCCCCCACTTTCCATCCTCTGTCGGAGCCCATGTTGCTAGGTTTTTGTGTTTAATTCAGTTTCCAAATTAGGATTTGTACAGACTCGAGTAAAAAGTCGCATATAGTTTCCATCAAGCAGCTAAATTTATGCACTGTTGGAGCGTATAGCATAGCAATGACTGTAATATAGGAAGGAAGGGAGGAACGTATAAAGAAAACGATTTTTATTTGCTGAAGTCTTCGCCTTTCTCTTCATTCGGAATTTGCGTATCTTCAAAGAGCAAAGGAAACCTAAAGTAACAAACATTACTGTAACAGCAACTTAATTGGTATTAAATCCATTTTAGATTACTTTTAGACGCTTTTCAGTGCAATTGACGTAATTCAAGTGTAATTTTAGCAATCTATGTTGATAATCATCTGCAATAAACATTATCCCATATCTTGATAGTCGATTTATTGAAAGTTATTACCGCATTGCGACTTCCGTTGTGTTTCTTTGCCACACTGGCCAATATCATTATAGCCATGTTCCCAGACCTGGATGATATTGCGCACTGCATTTGTATTGCCAACCAAAGCCACTCGTTTTAACCGCGCCCTTTGACCGCAATAGATTTCGAAGTAAAGAGAGACTCTGCGTATTTTCATTGGAATCAAAGATTCCCTATATATTTTGCTTCGTCGTGCAGCAAAGAAAGACATACTTTTGTTGAGCCACACTTTATGCAACCTGGTCCTCCACTAATATGCAAATTCAAATTGTACCACGACAAGGAAAATTATCTTCCGTTTCAAGCAAAAATAGAAAATGAAATTGGAAAATTTTATTTTGATAATTCTCAGAAAGATGCGTAACTCCCCCTAAATATTCGCTTAAAGAAGGGAAGAAGTTTCCTGTCCTCATGATATGATGTCTTGGTTAAAGCATACGGTAAACTCATAAAGAAATTATGAACCTCAAAGAATTGGCATCAGTCGGCTAGAGAATAGCCCTTGAACTCCCCCTTTTTCAAAGGTCAGTTGAACCTATCCGCCAACCTTTTTAGAGAGATTTGCTCTCAAAGTTCTTATCGATTTTACTGCGTTGAGAATCCTATTTTTTATAAAACTTTATAGAAAGATAAGATAACAACTGAAAATAATTTGAAGCAGAGATAATATTTATCCCCCCGAGGGGGAGGGGGGGGTACTCCCATTAAGGCCTGACAGGGGGGTTCAATCCGTTTGAGGGTCTTACCACATGGCAACCAAATGGCCCATTTTCGATAATAACTGAACTGCTCAGTTTAGCTTGCGATTTGTTATAGATAATGAACAATATTTATCTTTCCCGAAACAACAACAATCAATTATGAAGAAATTTGTCAAAAAAGGACCAAGGGAGCACAAAGAAATGGATGCTACCAAGGAAATAGTTTCGGTTTTTATGCTACCGGTTGAGGGTTTTTGTCAAAAAATACTACCATTTTAGGGTAATTTTTTAAGATTTTAGCGTTGGCCCTCTTTGACCCCGAACGGACCCCCTTTCAGGCCATAATGGGAGTACCCCCCCCTCCCATATTTATCACGCTTTTTGTATAACTAGTGAGATTTATTTTTTAATTGTTGCAGCATACCCGTTAAATTCTGATGGTGGAATTTATTTTCTATGTTTGTAAGATCTGTGGGGTTAGATTCCGTGGGCCTCAGCCGTGGCCAATTTTGATATTGGAAGCTCTTGTTAATCTGCTTTCTTGGTGCTTTCGGTTAGATTTGCAATAACCTTTATCAAACACTGTGACTTTGTTTATTGCAGAGTGGGAACGCGATGAAAACGTCGGGAAAAGCATCTGTTTCTGGGCCTTCTCCAGAGACTTCAAAGTCAAGGAGAAAGGTAGGCTTTCTTTTATATATATCACTTTTAAGAATTTGATATTTTTTGTCTTTGAAAATCGTGTCGATAAGCGCGTTCTGCTAAATCAGACCCAACCTCATAATGTGATTCTCCCTGTGTCACGAACGAGATGAGGCATATGCAAGGGCTGTACCCGTAGTGCTCTGAAAAGAACACAAGGTTTCTAGAAAAGGTCACTGTCGAAAAAATGTATCATGATTCACAATGAGAAGGTTGTCTTTTTTGGTGGCCTCCCTCCAGTTGCCGAACTCTCGAGTTCACGTTCTTGTGACTTTCGTAAGCAAATAATAACCTCATGAAATCAAGCACGGATCTTCATATAAAGCAATTCAGTTTCTACCAAAAGTGCACGGTATATTCATAGAGAAAGTTGTCTCTTTCATGAGATGGGAACACTTCTACCGTCTAGTGCCCTGTCCTATCAGACTGTGCATGCTTTGATGAAATATTTCTTGTCGCAATCGATGCACTAGCACACGAAGAAATTTAATTAGACAGAAATGATGAGAAATAAATTATCAGACAACAATCTAGTGCTGGTCTGTCAAATCATTTTGACATGAAAAATAAACTTTATTTTACATGACAAATCCTGACAATGGCCCTATATATAAATTTTCTAGGAATTGATTTTTATACAAGCATATCGCCTCCCTTTTTTTTTCTTTATTTCTGAAATGAGACAAGTGTTCCTTCTTGGACTGGATAGCTGTAAAAGGACCTCATTTTATTCATTCCCTTTTAAGAATGTATTTCATGAGTAATATGACATAGTAAATAGAATGAAACAGCAGTATGATTTATATAACACAACCATAACCTATTGAAGACGAAGGAAAAAAAACTCCTTATATTTTGTGAGTTCCTTATATCCTGATTAAACAGTAACTGTATCACATTAAGTTAAAGTCGAGGAACAACAATGAAGAAACTTAGGCCCATTCAGAGTATGTTCTGTTTAAGGGAAAATTCAATTACTACCTACTTGCAGGTGAATTATATTTGTTCATATATGATTATTATTGAAACAAAGAGGAACATAATACACATCACGGAAGTATTAATGAATAAAATTACAATTATCAATGTATGAAACCTTTTAGCTGTAAAGGGAGGACAAATGATATACTTTTTTCCTTTCTCTTATATCAGTCCTAGGCTTTCGAGTAGTTGTGTGAACGGTAGAGATGATGAGGCCTTTTTAGCTGTTTTTCAGATTGCCAGACAGATGTGAAGCTGCGTTTCCTTTTTGAGCAACGTTTTCAAATATTTGCCTTTGGAAAATCTCACTTTCATGAAAAGTTCTTTAGAAAAACAGGGCAAAAAGAGAGGTGCTTACCAAAGTTGACTGGGGGATTTGCAAAATCCAAATTTGAAAGGTGCGAGATTTTTAATTGTAAACAATTTTGAGGCAATAAAAACACTAACCTCCTCCGCAAGCCTTAGGTCTCAAATGCTTGCCCTGCGGTCAAGGGGATTGTGTTTTAAGATAGAAATAGATCTTTCTTAGCACCGCTGCCATTATAACTGTGTATACCTCACCGTTATACGCCTTGTTGTAAATAAAGACGATTTAAAACCATAGGCAAAGGAAGCTGCCTGTTTGCCCCACTCAAATATTGAGATATTAGCATGTTAGGACGAAAGATGCACACAGAATAGTGTTATTTGTACACAGCATCAACCACGTTTTGTCTGGACTGGGGAGCTATTGTTCAAGGGGTAGTTTACGTCACAAACCAGCACTGACCAGACACAGTTTACTAAAAAAAAGAAAAAAAAATTGAAGACATTAATGCAAGGCTAAATACTGCTAACTTCATGAGCAATGGGTCTATTCATTGTAGATTCTGCCACAATAGGCTTCCCGTCACCCCGTTTTTTGCCCTTTTCAGCTAATCCGGAGCCATCGATTATACCTACACAATTATTCGAATTACCCCCGATCGATGATTCTTTTCGTTTTCTAGAATCATTTGGCTTTAATAAATTTTCCGTGAACTGTGTCTTGTTTCAGAGACCATATCATATTTTGTATCTGGGGGGCTGTGTGGATCCTGCCCATTTTCTCTTCCACTGTCATGCCTGGTCCCTGTCTTGCTTCCTGCCCCATAATTTTCATCATTTTATTCTCCCGTCCCTTATTTTCCTGTCCCATATTTTGTTGTCCCTTATTCTATCTACACACAAACATAAACAGCCCAGCCCTCCCATATCGTTGGGTATTACCATTGTTACATTAGCTGAAAGCTAATATCAGTAAAATCATTTCACTTTAAATAACTATAGCACGCATTTTATTGTTTTCTTTATATTTGAAAAATTGTTCACTTTTTCAATAAATTTCCCAATTTTTTCAAATGATTCATGAGATAAGTTTTTAAAATTGCTGATTTGTACAAAATATATAATATAATCTAGCCTACCATTTAGCGCACTCGCACCACTTACGATTTTCAGTATAGCGGTCTGCTCGTTTCAATCACTTATTGCCAAGCAACAATCAGGGTAATTACTGCCAATTAAACGTAATGTCTTTAAATTATCAAAGATGGCTTCCATTATTGTCCTGTTAAACGTAAACATCCACCTTCTATAAATAGATTTGTTTGTGCTTTGGATCCCCATCATTTAATTAGTTAGCCTTTTAAAAATAATAGTGTGACGTCAAAGATTGGAATTCCTCACGGTTTTCCACTTGCTATTGCCAGTGGATGAAAGCAATGTTTTCAAACCAAGATTATCAATTCAAAATGTGTTACTGGCCCATACATACAACATGTCTTCAGTATCATGAATAGATCCTATTGCTTTTTCTTTTTATGAAGTACACGTTACCAGGAAAGGGCTGCTCTCCACCAACCGAAGGGCACCCTTGGTGGAAATCCTACTGTTTTTTAATAATCTCTGAAAATTCCTTTGTTTTCGTGGAAATCTCATACCCTTTTTTGCAGGAACGAATTGCCCCTCGCCACCAACAGTAACATAGGTGAACGTTCTACAAACGTTCTCGTATTTTTTGAATAGCACAGCATATCTTTTCAAATTTCGTAATACAACAAAAAAGACGCTATGTTTATGCGAGTCCTACTACAGCTCTAACTTTTGTAATTGTTGCCTAATAAGGATAATAGAATGATACTATGGAGCAATCAGCAATGAACTAGCCAACCCTTAAATGGCTGTTCGTTACAATATATCAATACACGAAATTATATGGACCATAATTTGTTCATACAGTCTAGCTAATGTTTATATTGTCATAACTTTGGGCTTGTCGCCGCTTGTTCTGCTGCAGAATCGTTTTCTAATTATTGCATGTCGTTGGCTGCATTGTGAGCAGGGGTGTAGCGTTGGGGTGGGCTTGGGGGTGGGGGAGAGCTCCCCTTGTTAATGCCGAAAATTAGCCAATTTCTGTTTTTACTATTGCGTTTTGTGCAAGAGCCCCCTTGTTATTTTGATAGCACTACACCACTGATGCGAGTGGCTATATGTTTTCGAAAATTGGCAGCTTTTCTCATTCTAGCACATAGACAAAATTCCATCTAATTGAGGATTTGAGTAAATCCACTTCTCGATTCAAGATTGCAACAAAATTAAAGTAAAAGATCTACCCAGGACATGACGAGAGTGTCACATTTCCTGTTTTTCTAACTTGTGTCTCCTTCACTAATTTATCAAAGTCACTTGTTATATCTGTGAAACGAATAAACGTGTCTCTAAAGAGCCTTCAAATAGATTCTATAATAATTAATCTCTTCTGTGTGAAACATTAAGCCTTGCTACTTAACGAAGGCAGATCAATTAATCGTAAGGATTGTATAGACTGCATTTTTTTAGGGTTCCCAAAAAGACCACATATGCATCGTGCTTAATACAATTATTGCCAGAAATCTTGGCCCATAAGTTGTAATGTTAGCGTGTTCCAGCTCCCATTTTCGTTAAATGTCCTCAAAGAAGCTTCATCAAGTCAAGCGTTTTAATCAGACAAAGAACTTTAAAAAGCAAGAAACTCTGTACCCAGACACCTTTCTGTTTTTGTCAAGCATTATCAAACTGAAAAACCATACACACTTTATCTATAATAAGAATTAAGTCTAAAAGAATATTGAGACTCAAAATTCCTGAAATTTAAGAATAATTTTAGGGAAATACAAGGTCCAAACTTCATCAAGAATTATAAAGTAAAAGCGACTCTCACGGTATATGTTTTGGAATAGAATTATCTGGCTTTGGAGTCATTAAATTTATAATGCAACGCCGTTATACCTTATGTCGCTCAAGAATTAATTAGGAATAATCTTAGGATCAAAGTAAAAAATTAAAAATATAGAGGCTCAACAAAAAATTTAGGTATTCTTATGAAAAGCTTTGTATTAGTAAACGAAATGAATCCTCATTTTGTACACTTCCAAGTAAAGTTGTGTAGTAAAATTATTAATTGCTTTTGATAGTCTACCTGATAGGGATATCATTATCACCCCTGTCCCTCCCTCCTCCTCTCCCCCACCTCTCCTCCTCCTTTTTCCCCTCAACTGCCCCTTGCGTGCTTGCATTTTCCCCTTGGAAAAAAACCGATTAAAATTCCTACCTTGACATATGATATCAGATTTATAGTTTATCTGTTTATTGTTTTTATTTGTTATCCACGAACTCTGGATACCGTTTTGTTAATCATATATTAAAGGTTGAGGTTACGGTATAAAATTGTCTGCACGATCGGAAAATGCCCAACACACGCAATGTAACAATGTTTCTCAAATGTAATCACGCTCTGCATATTAACCAAGAGTCATTGATACAAGTAATGACGACACAGAGGGGAATACTGACGTTGACATAATATTGTCAAAACATACTTGTTTACAGTGAAATTATATTCTGTTAATAATTTCGAAATCTATATTATCGAATCGAATGTTTTGCATAGCAAAGATACAATTTCGTTCGCTTATCTTCAACTTGTTGCCACAATCACA